CAGATTATCCTGAACTGAAGTCAACTGCTTGATCCCATGGTTTGATTACTTCACCATCTCTGCCCTTATTCATCTTTTCAGAGTTAGTACATCACCTGCCCATCTATTGGCCAAAAGATACATGGAGGTGAGTGGGCTTAACCTTTGGGACCAGGATATGTTGGAGATTCAAAATGCCAGGACACCAGAATTGCAGGATTACGTGCTTCCAGAAAGATCCCACCTGCATCACAGGTGAGCAGGCCGTGCCTTTCTGGTCGTATCTGAGACCCATCCTCCCACCCACATTTCCTGAGAGCCAGGGTCATGCTCTGTCTGAGCTTTTCATAACTTCTTTCAGCTTCAATTGCCTTCAGGGGTGATTGACACAGTAAACTGCAGTCAGGTGGGAACAAAGTTCATTCTCTCCCCGTTTGTTTTCTCTCTCTGTTCCTTCCCTGTTCTTCTCGTCCAGCCCTGATGCTGAATAAAATAACCATGTTTCCAGCTATGGTCATCAGCAAAACCAAAAGCCAGCCAGGCTGAAAGTGAGTCATCGTTCAAATTCCCCAAAACATTACCTTGGAAATTCCCATTTACAAACAGAGAAATCAAGAATGAACTTGGTTTCTTTTTAAATCCACTTCCCCATCCATAAAAAATTAGTTTACCACACAATGGAACCCAATGCATATATATCCATTTTTCTGATCCAAACAACGATAAATGAAGGAGCAAAGCCAAAATGTCCTGTTATGTTTCACTTTCTAGTAAGGATGGATAACATTCCCCGTTCAATTTCACCCTCGTGCAAAGGATATTTAAGGGCTCTCTGATTCTACTCCACCAGAAGCAACACCGGTCCTGCACAAGTTCCGTGATTGTTTATCGCCCCGAAAGCACAGCAACAAAAGCACAGGCATGAATTCGGAAGAATTTTTCATTTCAAGAAATTGCAGTTGAGGCCACTGATGTCAGTATTAGAAAAAACAGAAGAGGCAGGTTAAAAAAGTACGGCAAGAATTGTAAGGGTTGGCTTACTGGGTCAAAGAGAATATGCATTTTGACTTTGAAAGATCCTGCTGAAATTTTCCTTCTAGGGATTGTTATCAATTTACCCTCCCCAAGTGATGTGTGAGAGGACCTGTATCCACACAGCCTTGCCTTCGTAGCATGGTGCCATTTTCCCCCCAGGCTTACAGGTAAAAAGTGGTATCTTAGTGTCGTTTTCATTTATATTTATCTTATTATGAGTGGGGTTGAGTAGTTTTCATGTATTTATCAACCATGTCTAATTCCTTTGCAGTGAATCATATTTTCCTAGTTTTCTATGTTGGTCTGATTCTTACTGAATTTTAAGAGCTCTTACTTCCGCCAAGATGGAGGCATAGGTGGATGTGCCGTGCCTTCTCACACAACCAAGTTTAGAGACAAGTAAATATTAGCAACAGAAAACACAGCCAGAACACAGAAAATTGAACTTTTTGGAAGTCTGTTAACAACAAATTCTTCAGCCTGACCTGTAGGAGGGGCGAAACCAGCAGCTGGTGGAGCGGGGTTGCACAGGAAAACTCGGTCAGACAGACTCAGGTGCGCGGAATCCAGGCGCAGGGTTGGACCTAGGGAGCGACCGAGCGAGCCACCGCGGGGAAACAGCGAGGGAGCAGGGCTGCGGGTTGACTGTGGTTGCGCATTTGTGCGCGGATAGACAAGCGAGGGAGCAGGCGATTGGACCCGGACACAGCGGGTCCAGCGGCGGGCTGCAGGGAGGGCACCGCCATTTCCCCGCTCTGACCCCACCTCCACATACAGCGTCATAACCCAGCGACTCTGAGTGGCCCAGCCCAGGTGAACCACCTAAAACTCTGCTCCTCACCAGCGGCGCGAAACAGCAGAGGGGGCCGCCATTTCCTCGCTCTGACCACGCCCCCACATACAACGTCACAACCCAGCGACCTGGGAGTCCAAGGCTCCACTCCTCACACTTAAAGGACGCAAACAGACCAAAAATGGCTCAAGAAGATCTCAAAGCCCCAGAGCCTATAAATCTAAGCCATGAAGAAATAGCAAAACTCTCAGACGTACAGTTTAAAACACTGGTGATCAGGATCCTCATAGAACTGGTTGATTATAGCCACAAATTAGACAAATATATGAAGGCGAAACTAATTGAAATGAATGGAATTGCACAGGACACCAATAGCAATGAAAAGGAAACTGGGACTCAAATCAGTGGACTGGACCAGAAGAAAGCAAATAATGGCCAACCAGAAAAAGATGAAGAAGCAAGAATTCAAAGAAATGAGGAGAGTCTTAGGAACCTCCAGGACCTCTTTAAACACTCCAACATCCGAATTATAGGGGTACCAGAAGGGGGAAAGGCACAGCCACCAGTGGAAAACTTATTTGAACAAATAATAAAGGAGAATTTCCCCAATCTGGCAAAGGAAATAGACTTCCAGGAAATCCAGGAAGCTCAGAGAGTCCCAAAGAAGTTGGACCCAAGAAGGAACACACCAAGGCACATCATCATTACATTAGCCAAAATTAAAATGAAGGAGAGAATCCTAGAAGCAGCAAGAGCTAAGGGGACAGTCACCTACAAAGGAGTCCCCATCAGACTGTCAGCAGATTTCTCAAAAGAGACCTTACAGACAAGAAGGGGCTGGAAAGAGGTATTCCAAGTCATGAAATCCAAAGACCTACAACCAAGATTGCTCTATCCAGCAAAATTTTCATTTAGAATGGAAGGACAGATAAAGTGCTTCTCAGATAAGGTCAAATTCAAGGAGCTCATCATCACCAAGCCCTTATTATATGAAATGTTAAAGGGACTTATCTAAGAAAAAAAAGTTAAAGAAACATGAACAGTGAAAGGACAACAAACTCACAGTTATTAACAACCACACCTAAAATGAAAGCAAACTAAAAGGACAGCTAGATCAGGAGTGGAAACATAGAAATGAAGATCTCAAGGAGGGTTAGCAACAGGGGAGTGGGAGGAGGAGAAGGGGGGAGAAGGTACAGAAAATAAGTAGCATAGACAGTAGGTAGAAAATAGATGGGGGGGCAAGAATAGTATGGGAAATATAGCATCTAAAGAACTTGAGCCCAGGCTGGTGTAGCTCGGTGGATTGAGCGCGGGCATGCGAACCGGAGGATCGTGGTTCAATTCCCAGTCAGGGCACATGCCTGGGTTGCAGGCCGGTTCCCAGCAGGGGACACATGAGAGGCAACCATACATTGATGTTTCTCTCCCTCTCTCCTTCCCTTCCCCTCTAAAGATAAATAAATAAAATCTTAAAAAAAAAAAAAGAACTTGAGACACATGGTCATAAACTAAAGGGGGGGTAATGATGGGGACAGAGGGTAGGGTGGAGGGGAATGAAGGGGGGAATAGAACAACTGTAACAGCATAATCAATAAAAAAATTTTAAAAAAGAGCTCTTTACATATCAAAGAAATTTGTCTTTGATGTGAATTGACAATATTTCCTACACTTCACCATTCGTCTGTTGCCTTGACTAAGAAGTTGATTTGGCCCAAGATAAAGATTATGTGTCTGTGTACCCAAAGGGAGCTATGGAGACAGAAAAATCTTATTTGGACAATGACAGAAATCTGCCAGCTTCACAGGCACTGCTAGGTTCGGGACCATGCCTACAGGTCACCAGATGAAAAGAGGGGACCTGAAAATGCTCTGCATCCTGTATGCAGAGTCCCCTTCGTGATGGGCAGGGAACTGCCGTGATGAGCAGACATTGGCTCCCTCTGTTTCCCTTCCTTAAAATGGATGTAGGCCCACATTCCTTCCAAGGCTTCCTCCTGGAGAGTGGAAAGGCTCCAGGGGGAGTCCTGCTCCCCCCCACCGGGTCGCTGTCAGAGGGTGTGCAAAAAAAGCCCCTTTGGGACTGGCTGTGGCAGGGCCCCCTGGTGTTCTTCCAGACCCAATACATCCATTTTTGGAAACGTACTGTTGAAGCTAATCATGTCCTGGGGGTTGTCCTGGTGTAGTGACAAAGCCAGACCCTAGCCCAAGATTTTACCCTCCATGCCCGGTGGGCTGTGTTACAAGTATCCCCAATGAGAACCAGCTCTACGTGGTTTCTTCTGGTATCCCTGCCTGCGTGCAGGACCTATGCTCTCCAGCCCCACCCGCGACAGTGCTAGCACAGGGCCAAGGATGGGCTTCGGGATTTGGAAAGGAGGGGCCCACAGCCACATCCCAGCAAACTTTCTGGGGCCCAGGGTAGACTCTATTTTCCATCCCCAGTCTGCCTGCTAGAGGCTGATCGAACCACCCATCAAAGAAAGCTCAACCATCTGGACTCTGCCCCATTCTCGGGGCATTTCAACAACTGTTCTTAGTTGTTCCGCTTACGTCAGATTCCCTCACCTGGACACACTGACACAGTACAGGCCACTTAGCAGGGCCGGCTGCGGGCGGCGAAACTATCCTGCAGGGGGGCGGTGTGGGTGATGGAAGGCGGGGGTGACGCCGGCGGTTTAGAGGGGACAACCGCTTTGTCCGGACTAGATCCAGGGACTGGCGAGGGGGTCGCATCTGGATGCAGGAGGTCCAGACCTCTCTCCGGATTTTCCTGCAAGGTACTCTGGCCTCTTTGAAGGCTTTGGAAGAACGAAGCCAGGATCAATTTCCTCTGAAGTCAGGCAAACTGGGTCGGGCCCACAGTCCTCCCTGGCTTCCCAGGGCGTCCGTTCCGCGTCTACTGGAAGGGGCCGGATCCTAGCCCTGGCCCGCCCCGCCCCACCGCGCCCTCGCCCCGCCCCGCCCCGCCCCGCCCCACCGCGCCCTCGCCCGGTCCCACACTAGCCCGGGTCCCGCCCACAGGCCCCGCCCACAGCCCCTCTTTGCCTTAGCCCCGCCCAGTATCAGCCACCCCGTCTACACCACAGCCTATCATGAGTCTCCCTTCACCTTGCCTAAGACCCGCCCCATCTTAGTCCCGCCTATAAGCCTCTGCCCCGCCTCGCGGGGGCCGAGTGGGACTGGCTGCAGCGGCGGCGGGGGCGGGGCCCGCCTCACCCGGAATGAATACTAACGGCGGCCGCAGCCGCATCCGGGCACTCCGCAGGTCGAGGCGGCGCGGCGGTGGCGCAGGTGAGGAGACAGCGCCGGGAGTCGATCCCTGGACAGGGGTCTCAGCGGCGCCGATCGGCGTCCCCGGTCTCTGGGGCGATCCCTGCCCTGCCCCGCCCGGGTCTGGCGCGGCTTCAGCGGCGCGGACGCTGGGCTTCCTACGCGGAGGCCGGGCCGGGACAGAGGACGGCGGCTGGGGCTTCCCGGTGCGCCGGCGGTTCCCGGGGGCCCTCGGTTTGCGCTGGTCTGGGTGAGGGTGGTGGGTTTTTCTTTTTTTAAAAGAGCGAATGTTGTTCTGGGAAGAGACAGGGAAATACACGATCACACAAAAAGCTTGAATCATAACACTGTTATTTCACATATGGCATTTAGGACTTCCTTGCAATCAAAGCCAGATTTTCTTTGCTATTTAATGAAAGAACACGGTTGATATTCTCCAGCCTTGACAATCTGATTCTGTATTTCTCACCTCCTAAGCCTCACCCTTATTTTTAAATACAAGGATATTTTATTACTCCGACTGAAGAATCACGTAATGTATTTTGAAGTATATATATTTGAGAAGCTCTGGGTAAAGGTTGCGTAGATTACTTTATTGCCAAAGTGAAAGTGATCACTTTAAAGGGGTGGTTTATAACGTCTCACTTTCGGTTTGGAGCAGCACTAGGGAATGGAGTTCCGCTTTGGGGGACGCTATATAATGTGGAACAGTTCTCCAGTTAAAATAGAAAAGGGATGTTGTAAGCCTTCTTCCCTTTCGATTTGATCTGAAATCTGTATCCTTGCATATTCCGTTGTCTATAACTGAAGTTTTGTAAGTTTAACGACAGTGGTTTCATCTTTGTGCAAACGCAAAGTGGGGTGGTGTGGACCCTCCCTGCTGTTTCTTTGCTGGTGGGTGGAGCTCGGGACACACACTAGGTGTGTGAGACCTTTTGGGTCCTTGGATGGCAGAGGGCTGGGCGTTCAGCCTTCCCAACAGCTTGGCTTCATTAAGCAGCTCAGGACGTGATTCTGAAGATGTAAAGATTTATGAGGAGGGAACTAGCTTTGTGTCGTGGTGGTGGAAGTTACTTGTGTTTGTAAAGCTCATACGCATCAGTTCTAACACACACTTTCTGTGTGAGAAGCAGTTAGCGGGGAAGGTCTCAGTTCTCTCCAGGTCACCTGAACAAGCACAGTCCCCTCCCCAGTGTGTTTATTCCTTCCTCCCCTCTCTCCTCCTGGTCCTGATTACCCTCCTTCTCACCGATGCAAAATAGATTTGGAATTTCTTTTAAAATACTTGTTTATGGAATACACTTAATTTATCAAACTTGACCTAAAAATCAGGTGAATTGAGCCCTGGCTGGTGTGGCTCAGTGGATTGAGCACCAGCCTATGAACCAAAGGGTCACCAGTTTGATTCCTGGTCAGGGCATGTGCCTGGGTTGCAGGCCAGGTCCCCAGTAAGCGGTGTGTGAAAGGCAACCACACATTGATGTTTCTCTCCCTCCCTTTCCTTCTCTCTAAAAATAAATAAAATCTTAAAAATAAAATAAAAATCAGGTGATTTGGGTTTGGGGGAGTGTGGAATACAGGCCCTGAACAGGGAAAAAAAATCATGTATCTAGGTTACGCTAACTCATATTTTTTTCACTCTAGAACTTGTCTTCATCCTCAGGGCCTAACAGCTTTCTACTTTTTTTTAAATTTTAGGGAGAATGAGAAGGAGAGAGAGAGAAACATCGATATGTTGTTTGACTTATTTATACATTCCCTGGTTGATTTTTGTATGCGCCTTGACCGAAGTCCAAACCAACAACCTTGGTGCACCTTGGTGTAGCAGGGCGATGCTCTAACCAACTGAGCTACCTGGCCAGGGCCTCTGCTTTCTTACTGCTTGTCTGATTTGGCTGCAGTACCCCTTGCAGCTGTTACCCTGGCCCCCCCTTCACATTGCCCTGCTACCGAGGTCCAAGCAGGCAGCTCCATTGCTGGCAGGTGCTGCTTCGAAAGGGAGCACTTATGTGGGCCGCACAGAGAAGCAGCGAGGGACGCTGAGACCGAATGCAGAGTCTGATGTGTCGGCAGAAGTCCCAGTGCTAGTCTGGTGCTGCCTGATATTGTGGCCTCGGCTGGTCACTGATGTGGGACCTGAGGTTTCTCAGCCGTAAAATGATGGGCCAGCCAGTCGGTGTTAAGAATGTACTGTTTAAATATGTACTGGGGTCATGATGTTGCCACAAAATGTCATGCAGTACTTCCCCAGTACTGTAAGTAGTAAATTTTTTATTTTACTTATTTTATAGATATTATTTACTTATTTTTAGACAGAGGGGAAGGGGGAGAGAGAGGGAGAGAAACATCAGTGTGTGGTTGCCACCAGTGCACCTACTACTGGGGACCTGATCTGTAGCCCAGGCACGTGCCCTGACTGGGAATTGAACCGGCAACCTTTTGTTTTGCAGGCCAGCACTCAATCCACTGAGCCACACCAGCCAGGGCATAAGTTTTTCATTAAAAAAATTCAGATATAGAGGACATTTACTATCGATAGTTCACAGGTCAAGCTAACTTTTTTAATGTTTCCCTGCCAGGGGAGGTGGTATTTGTTTAGAGACTTTATAAACTCTGTGCTGAGTTTCTTAGAAAATTGCACTGCTTTAGGGATCCATCTTTCTCATATTTTATATTTTTTCTTAAATCAGGGAATAATGGGGTTAAAAAATAGAAAAATATAATAAGCCTTGCTACATATTAGTAGCTTTGCAGTACACACTTTAATGTAATATATAATTGACTATATATATATATACCCGAGTGCATATATAAATATACGTATTTCAGAGAAGTCTGGAACCAGTTCAAACCTGATCTGAAAGTAATTCAGGTTAAACGGGAGTGGGAAAAGTGGAGGGGAGCTCAACGGAACATGCCAGCCTATCAGGTGGTGAGACACACCTGGAAATGTCCTGTGGGGTTCATTGCTATACTGTTTTGCTTTCCAGGATGGCGCAAAAGAAATATCTCCAAGCAAAACTGACCCAGTTTTTAAGAGAAGACAGAATTCAACTTTGGAAACCTCCATATACGGATGAAAATAAGGAAGTCGGTTTGGCATTGAAGGTATTTTTCTTTTAAGCCATAGGTCACTAGCAATGGTATACGTCTCCCCAGTGCTAACAGAAGAACGTCTGAACCTGCAGACGTGTTTATAAGTTCATTAGAGTTTATTTGAGCCGGACAGAGGGCAAGCCTGCAAGCAAGATCTCAGCAGACTGAGGGGAACACTCCCCAGACTGGCAGCTTGCATTTCTGGTGCACACTCAGAATGAAGGAGGGAACCTAAGGAAGATACGAGAAATCAAGGGAGAAAGGAGGTGGGGGTTGGACTACAGGGGAGTTAACAGGAGCATGTGCTCCCGGAGGGTGGGTACGTGCTGTCTCTGAGGGTTTGAAAGAGGCATTTCAAAGGTATGTAACCTGGACGTGCAGGAACGCGAGACAGAGCCTCAGGCGAAGGTTGGATGAAGACACCGTGTGCCTGGCCGGACTACCCTCGGGGACCTGCCCGGTTAGGAATTTATGACCAGGTCATCCTGTGAGGTCACTTTGGGTTAGATTTTTTTACAGAGCCTTTCTTCATCCACATTGGTAAATAAGATTTCTTTTTTAAAAAAAGACTCCAGAGAGAGGGAAAGAGAAGGAGAAAGAGAGGGAGAGAAACATCAGTGTGTGGTTGCTTCTTGCATACCCCCTACTGGGGACCTGGCCCACAACCCAGGCATGTGTCCTGATCGGGAATCAAATGGGTGACCCTTTGGTTCACAGGCTGGCACTCAGTCCACTGAGCCACACCAGCCAGGGCGGTAAATAAGATTTCTGAAGTCACCACAAGTTGCCAGCCACAACCACGGGTGCAAACTTTGGGCATAACCAAAAGCAGTAGTGAGAGGCAGGTACCCGCTTCTTACTGGGAGCTAACAAGCTCATTTTTAATAAGATTTTATTCATGTGGAAATGTTACCTGATTTCTGGGGCATATACTATTTTCGATACCCGTACGGCATTACCTAAAGTCATTAATCCGGGGAGTACTTCTGACCTGCCGGTGTGGCAGTGCTGCTGGCGAGTTCGTGGGGTCCACCCGCGTTCCAGAGGGGACGGTCTCGGGTGGGTCTCTGCCTGGTCGAGAAAACCATTGCTCTCTGCCCCCAGCATCTTTAAACTGCGGCGCTGTTCATTTTTCCAAAGACTATTTTTCTGTTAATTACACCTCAGTTTTTCATGGCAGCAGAAATGGCCTTATTTTATGTAAGTGAAATTTATAGAAGTTAAAAATTCATTGCTTTCCAAAGCACAGAAAAACATGAATCCTTTTTAATTTTGTATTTATTCACATGTTCCTTTTCTAGCATTCTTTCTTTTAAAAATTTTTTTTCTTATTTTATTTATTTATCTTTAGAGGGAAAGGGAAGGAGAGAGGGAGAGAAACATCAATGTATGGTTGCCTCTCATGCATCCCCTGCTGGGAACTGGCCTGCAACCCAGACATGTGCCCTGACTGGGAATTGAACCTTGATCCTTTGGTTCGCAGGGTTTTGTTTTTTTTTATAGAAACCTATTATATTGGAATATTCCAGCACACGCTTTTCTGCATTCTCAGTCTGAGTAACCAGAGATAAACCATGTAACATCTGTCAGGGACTGAGGAATGTCACTGAAGGTCAATGGCTGCGTCAGATCTCTGTGACGCAAGGGTGCACTGGGGAGGTGACGCCTGTATGGGGGTCTTAGAGTCCCCGGGTCTCTCCTGGTCGTCACAGGCCCCCCTTTTTCTCTTTTGCACCCCACCTTCTGACCTTTTTTCTGAATTTGCTGGTTACGAGCTCTTGGCTCAGAGCTCTTGGTGTGGCATAAGAGGAAAGCTATTTGGTTTCTGGCGCAGGACTCCTCTAAAACCCCGGAATTTCCCCAGTGGTGAGGGCGACAGGGGCTCCTTTTGTTCTGACCCGACGCTCTGGGCCACAGCCAGGACGGGGCTCAGCCCCACCCTCCAGCCTCAGGGAAGGCGGGAGGGGCGCGGGCTGGAGATCTGGTTAGTCACCCGTAGCCAGTGGTTTAGCCCGCCAGGCCTGCGCAATGGCACCGTAAAACCCTTAGAGGATGGGTGTAGGGGAACCTCCAGATTGGCAAACACGCCCACAGGCTGTACCCCAGACCCTTTCAGACCCCACCTATCTACCTCTTCATCTCAATGTTCATTTGTGTCCTTTATCATAAACCATAATAGTAAGAGGAGCATTTTCACGAGTTGTAGCAAATTGTCATTTTATAAGGAGTACCAGTGATTCAGAATTCTCTGTTGAGAAAGTTATTTATGGCTCTGGCCTGTGTGGTTCAGTTGGAGCATCCTCCCGTGACCAAAAGGCTGCTGGTTAGATTCCCAGTCAGGGCACATACCTGGGTTGTGGGTTCGGTTCCCAGTCCAGGCGCCAGTCCCCTGTCCAAGTGCACACACGTGTATGGGAGGCAACCAGTCAGTGTTTCTTTCCCTTCCTTTCTCTGTAAAAGCAATAGAAAAAAATGTCCTCAGGTGAGGATAAAAGGTTAAAAATAAAATTAAAAAATATATAAAGTTATTTACGTCAACCCTGACTTGTTCTCACAAGTTAGGAAAATTAGATTGCTTTCTCTGCTTTCCTTTTCTTTCCCCTCCAGTGGAGAAGATCCGCTCAGTATTCCTTAAAATAATTTCTATATGCTACAGTCACTTCAGTTACAGTCCACTCGTCTTTTCTCCCGACAATAATGTCAGCTGTCTTCACTCTTTCCATTGATTCTGTGCCTCCCCATCCATCAGGCCGGCCTGGATGTCACCGCAGCGGGGGTCCGCCACTCAGCAGGGTCCTGCACGCGCTGCTCTGTGTTCTGGGCGCCGCCCCCCCCCCCCGCGGTATTTTGAGCTGATACTACGCTGATCTGTATTTTCTGATTCTTTTCTAGGACCTTGCTAAGAAGTACTCTGACAAGCTGGAATGCTGTGAAAACGAGGTAGAGAAGATCATAGAAGAAATACGCTGCAAAGCGGTCGAGCGTGGCACAGGAAATGAAAATTACAAGACCACGGGAATGGCCACCATCGAGGTGTTTTTACCTGCACGGCTCAGAAAAGTGAGTCGTTTTCTCGGGTTCACGTAGGTCCTCCTAGGTCCTCATGCCTGGTTCACTCAGTGAGGCAAGCACGCGAATTGTGATTGTTTTTAAAAGCTATGATACAAAGTTATTTTGTTTGTCTGATTTTTTAAATAGGACAGGAAGAAGCTCTTGGAAACTCGGTTACACATCACTGGCAGGGAGCTGAGATCGAAGTACGTACTTGTCCCCATCCCCCTGTGGCGCCACCCCCCCCCAGGGCCCGGCCCTTTTACATCAGCCCTTTGATCCCGGTGGCCGACCTGGAAGAGCAGAGAGGGCGGGTGCTACTCTCCTCGCTCTAAGGGAGGGAAACGTGAGGCTGGGAGGCTGCAGGACTGACCTGGGCTCACGCTGGTGGTGAAGGGCAGGTGAGAACTCTGGCCTCACCCTGCTCTTCCTCGTTTCCTGGTCAAACCTGAGCCCCGGTGGGAGCTCTGGGCACTGCCTACCAGGGGCTTGGCACACGTGTGAGTCAATGAATGGACGGTAGAAATAGGGGACGGCCTGGTGTTGACCCCGTCGTTAGCTTTCAGTTTCATCCCTCGGGGCACTAATGACTGGCTCAGACGTTCAGCGGAGTGTTTCAGCAGATTTCAGGCTGCTGCACACCTGCCAGAAGAAAAATTAGCAGAGGCAGCCAATCAGCGTTTCTCTCGCACATTGATGTTTCTCTCCCTCTTTTTCTCCTTCCCTTACTGCCTCTCTAAAAAGATTAATAAATAAATACTATCTTTAAAAACAAATTTAAAAAGAGTCCAGCAGGTTGGAGCAGGGGCTGAGAGCCTGCATCCAACAAGCTCCCAGTATGGCCCAGGTGGCTGGTCTGAGGACCACACTGGGAGCAGCAAAGCCCTGGACAGGAAAGGGGACACAGCGGATTTGTGACAGGCGCCGCCACCGTCACTGCTGACGGTGATGTGTAAGTAACGCCACGCTCAACTAGAAGAAGAAACACACCGGTCCGTCACATGCTAGTGAAATTTGAACTGTTTTTGAATGGGCCGCATTTTCGGCACCTCCAGCTCCAGTTCCTGAAGCTGGTTTTTCTCATTTTCTTCTTTGCCCTTTGTCAGGGCTGCTGGGGACGCAGAGACCTCATTCATCCAGCAGGGACGGCCCCATCCTCCTAGGGGGCCCAGGCTACAGAGAAGGGCTTTCTCCAGAAGCCCAGTGAGGGCCCCCCTTGCCCATGTGGATGCTGCCCCAGGGGTCTCCACCTCCTGAGGAAACAAGTAGTAAAACAGTTTAAAAAGGGACATTCTCTCTCTCTTTTTAAAAGATTTTATTTATTTACTTCTAGAGAGAGGGGAAGGGAAGTAGAAAGGGAGGGGAACATCAGTGTGTGGCGGCCTCTCGAGTGCCCTCTACTGGGGGACCTGGTCTGCAACCCAGGCCTGTGCCCTGACTTTGCATTAAACCGAACCGGTGACCTTTTGGTTCACAGGCCTGCGCTCAATCCACCGAGCCACACCAGCCAGGTGTACAAAAAAGGGCCATTGTCTCGTACACATCATCAATTGGTATTTGTGAGTCAGTAAATTGAAATACCGGGTGTTTCTGAGTAAAATATATAATTAGATTTTAACCATCGTGGTTAAAATCTAATTAATGGAAAATAACAAATTTTATTACCTACATTTTTCACTGGTTTGTTTTACAGAATAGCTGAAACCTATGGATTCCAAGAAAATTATATCAAAATTGTCATAAATAAGAAACAACTGCAACTAGGTATGTGATGGCAAAGTATGCAGGATTTTAAAATCAAGTTAACAGATATAATGACTGCATCTTCTTTTTTCTCTTCCCGTATCCACAAATTTCTAGTGGTTTTATTGCATATAAATTCGAAAGCAATTATTTTAGAGTTTACTACACTAAAAAGGTAAAGTAGCAAGTAGCATTTCTAATGTTTGTCTTCTGTTCGGTGCTGGGGGGAAGAAGGGTACTGGCCGTTGGTCTGATGAGATGTCACAGAGCAGAAGCGCAGGGCTGCTCAGGGGGTAACATCGGGCTTCCCCACACGCTGCCCAGGGAGACCAGCTGGGGCAGAGCGAGGCGGGGCAGGCTGTGCTGGGGAGGGCTCCAGACTGAGCAGGCCGCACCTCGGAGCCGAGACGTGACTGGGGGAAAGGTCGCGCAGGGCCGAGTGTGCACGGTGACGGGAGGGCAGCGCTGGGTGAGGATAGAGCGCAGGCCCGGCCGGGCCACACTGTGGGGGTTGTACTGCTGGTTCTCGCTCAGGCGTGGTTTTGCCACCCAGGGGACCTTTGGCAATGTCTAGAGACATTTTTGTTGTTCATGACTTGGTGATGGGGTGGGGCCCAGGTATATTTTCTGTGGCTTCGTTGGTTAGAGGCCCGGTACAAGGCCCAAGGCAGCCACTTCAGCGAAGACCCATCCAGCCCATGACGCTGGTCATGCTGCGGCTGAGAAACTGACCCTGAGCACGGACAGAGTCCCTCCTGAGGGGGAGGGAGACCGTGGATGCTGGGCGTGGCACGTGGTACATCTGTGTTTTGCAGGCCGCTGTGGCTGCTGCAGGGGGTGGATTTGAGGGAGGCGTGGCCTGAGAGACCAGTTGGCTCTTGCTGCAGTTCATTCAGGCAGGTGCTGTAGTCTGGTGGGTGTCCGGGGCTCCCAGGGCCCAGAGGGTCAAGTTCACTGCCCAGCTCGATGCAACGCCGCCTTCACAGCCCAGCCCTCGTCTTCCTTTCCAGCATCATTGCCTCTAGCCACGCCCATGGCCTGTGTTAGGTGTCACAGTGTCTACTCGCTGTCTGTCCTCGCCTCTGTGCTTGTCCTGTGTGTGGATCTGTCGCTGGGCAGAGACCCCGGATAGCAGCCGACCCATCGGTCCTTCTCCCGGTGGTGTGTTTTCAGAAGCTCCTTCTCTAACCCGAGGGTCCCAGGGTAGTCTAGGTTATCTTGTACCAGCGTAACCTGTAGGAGGTCTCTAATCTGCCCGAGTCCCCTGTTTGTAAAGGCTAAGGCCCCAGTGTCATGCTTCTTCCGATACCCCGACTAAACCTGCTTCTTCCACGCTGATACTTGGTGCCTGTATATATTGTTTCCATTCACCTGTAGGTTCATTCCTGGGCCAGAAGCTCTTTTATTTTGTAACAGAAAGTTTGTATCTTTTGACATCTTCACCCATAGAGTTTATTATTACTGTGGTTTCATTGTAGTTTTAAAATCTGGCAAGATGGATCCCCCTCTTGGTTCTTTATCACGGCGACTTGGCCGTTGGTGGGTCTTCACATCAAGCTTCTTAAGAATGTATACATCCAAGTAGCATTTTCCATACACGTGGTCAAATGTATATACTTACAGTTCATGATAGTTTGTTATTTTAAAAATCTGTTTGTATCTGTATTTACGCCTTTTCATTTTGGTGGTGGTTTATTTGCATCTTTGACTTAATTTTTGTCCCATTTGTATACTTGACTGAGTTGTTGCATAGAACCAGCCTCAGGGTGAGGAACCTGGGTCCCGGAAGCAAGCCGCTCACTGCGGCCTCCGAGTGAGGAAGGGGGAGAGGCCAAGGTCTTCGCTCCTCCCGACAGTAGACCACAGTAGACCGCCTCTCCGGGCGCCCTGCTGCGCCCTGGCCGCCTGAGCGGTGCTGTGCACTGGGCGGGTTCCCTCTTACCAGCCAGGGCACAGGAGAAGTCGTGCCTTAGGCTTCCTTTTCTGCCGTCCAGCGTGGTGCTCTCCCTGGGGCATTCCCAGCTATTTATTGCTTCCGTGTGGTCTTACGATGAGACTAAAGGAAATCGGAAAGGATGAATTAGGGCTACTTTCCCTGGCCGACTTTATCCACTGCTTACCGGCCACTGCTACACCACCCACTTTAAGCGTGCCCGCCGCTGGGGTAGCCCGGTGGTTGGCAAGTGCAGAGGCGGGGTTCAGAATTCTGGGGAACCTGGGGAACCCCGGTGCCTCGCACGCGTGAGGGCGCGTTTCACAGTGCGCGCTCCCGACTGTCACAGGGAAGGCGCTGGAGGAGCAGGGCGTGACGCACAACGTGAAGGCCATGGTGCTGGAACTGAAGCAGTCCGAGGAGGATGTCAGGAAGGACTTCCGGGTTCAAGAGGAAGAGCAAAACGAAGCTGAACAAAAGGAAAAGAAGATTCAGAGGACGAAGAGGGGACTGGAGATCCTGGCAGAGAGAGGTACCCAGGGCTCCAGGTTTCTCACCTCCCTCAGTGCTCCATGCACGCAGCCAACCCCGCCCTCGTGGGGGCGTGGCTTTCTCACTCGCTTTTCCTCCCGACAGTCTGACGTTTTGAATACCGCTGTCATTGCTTGCTTGCTTGCTTGCTTCCTTCCTTCCTTCCTTCCTTCCTTCCCTCTTTCTCTTCCCCCTTCCCTTCCCTCCTTTCCTTCCCTTCCCTCTTCCCTTCCCCCTTCACTTCCCTTCCCCTTCCCCTTTCCCTTCCCCTTTTTTCTGTCATTGCTTCTAACACCGACTGCATAAGTTCCCTTTGGTCTTGTTGCAGCTGAGACAGTGGACCCTGAAACCATGCCGTACTTGGAAATAGCTAACCAGACGGGCAGGTCCATCAAAATTCCTCCGTCAGAAAGAAAAGTAAGTCCTGTAGGAAACTTAGAGCTTGTTCTTGGATTTGCTATCGGAACTGAGCGGCTTTCTAGTCATTTGATCTTGGAATGCTGGGAAGGGGCAGAAGCAGTTTTCTGTCTCCGGCCGACCAGCAGTGTGTATAAATCAACAGCATTCACTCTGTGCGGTTATGCACGGCCGGCTCGCCCTGTGATTTCCGGGGAGCAGTACACATGCACGACCTTCCCGTCCTGTAGCAGTGACTTTGCACGTTCCCAAGTGATGTGACGTCCTGCCTTCAGCACTGGCTGATGGGTGGGGTTTACTTTGCTACAGGGCCATGTCCCCTGAGGAGTGGGTCCCTGGGGGAACTGTGGGGTTTGGGAAAAGAATGACAGGCGATTCTGCTGTGTCTGCCCTGTCTTCCCACACCCCCTTTCCCTGTTCTGGAATTGGGGTTAGTAGGAGGTAGTTTTACCTTTAAACACATTCGGCGGGTTCTTTACAGCAGCGCGGTGCACCCTGTACCCTGAGTGCAGCCTCGAGCTGGAGTCCAGCAGTTCTTAAATGAAAAACTCTAATGACTGTGGGTCCCATTGATTTAATTTTTGTCTTTTTTTAAAAAGATTTCATTTATTTACTTTTTAGAGGGGGGGAAGAGAGAAAGAGAGAAAAATCAATGTGTGGTTGCTTCTTGTGCACCCCCTACTGGGAACCTTGCCCAAAGCCCAGGCCTGTGCCCTGGGAATCACACCGGTGACCCTTTTGTTTGCAGGCCGGCACTCAACTCACAGAGCCATACCAGCCAGGGCTAATTCTTCTGTCTTTAAAGGACAGTTTGAGTAGGTTTCAGTATATGAATTATTTTGTTAAAATTGAGGAATAAAGTTAAGTTTTACTAGGAGAACTTTGTAGCTGCCAGGGGATTGATGTTTGCTTTTTTTTAAGGTTGGGATAATTTGTCCACTGCCCCTCTTACACTGAATGACGCCATGCAGGTCAGTTTGGAAGACCTTCGCAAGATGGAATTATCTGGAAATTCAAATTGAGAAATATTAAGGAACCCAAAAAATTTTGGATCACTGCTTAAAAATTATTTTGGCAAAACTAGAGTTGACAGGTGCTTCAGAAAAAACCTGAATGAATGCCCCCTTTGAAAGAGAATATGAAAGACAAACAGACTATGGCTGCTTTTTTCTACCTTCCGTCTGACTTAATTTGGACTTTTAAATTGGTTGTGCTCTTTTTTAAATTTTTACTTTTTATTTCTTTAGACTTACTAGGCTTTCGATATAATATTTGATTATAGTTTAAAGTGATGTTTTTCCAATTCCCAATTTTTCCCCAGGCTCTCACCTTGGCGATGGGCTATCATGAGAAGGGCCGAGCGTTTCTGAAGAGAAAAGAATATGAAATAGCCTTGCCTTTCCTTCTGGACGCCGACAGATACTTCTGGTAGGCACTCTTGTCCTTGGGGAGCCCCAGGTTCAAGGAGGATGGCCCCAAATCAGACAGCCCCCTCCCGGCCCCTGTCGCCTCAGACCTCGGGTTTTCACCCCGGACCACGGTCGTTGGGAGCGAGCAGTTCGGGGGCAGACCGGTTTGTGAAGTGCTTCTTTCATGAACAGCTCTAACGGGTCTCTCTTCCCTGTGAAGAGTGTTAGAAACACAGGCACTGGCTTCCTCCTCAGCAAACACACAGGACATCACGTTTGTGTTGGGGGAGGTGCTGTCAGCCCTTGGCCCTTCCCCCAGGGGATTTGGTAGGGCCGACCGCACCCCAAACCCCTTGCTTTACTGAGGCTGCGGAAAGCTAACACGGCGCCGTCCTTCTGCATTTGTTGCTAGAATTCTTGTGAAAAGAAACAGGTTTCCTCATCAGCTGCTTGGTTGTGCTGGTGAGCAATTTGTAGCGAAAGGCAGTGAAATGCATGGTTCTTTTCCCTTATTTTCTCGTGTTCAGAATAAATCAATGACTTCCCTAGCATCCTCCAAAAATGAGGTTACCAAAGAGGTTTTCTTTCCTTTTTATTTATTTATTTTTTAAAGTATCGATATACGAACTCATGGATTTTAATACATTTGATGTGTTTTGAAGCTCAATGCCAAATCGGCCGTCTATGGCCAGCCGGCAAAGGCTTCATCCTTTTGACCTGGTGGTCTCCGGTCTCCGGTGCCCAAGGACCCCAGAGTCACCGCGGGCGTTTTCCGCCCCAGCCTGGGGGCCAGCAGCCCCCCACCGATCCCTGGCTCCTCGCAACGGGAAACAGCGCCCAGAGACTGTGATCAAGGCAGATGGGACATTTGAAAAATAGACGGTGTCCGAAATTGCTCAAAAGGTAGCAATTTTCATGTTATTTTCTTTTCCATTTTGATGAATTCCCATGATACACTGCACACTTCAAGAAGGTAAATACAGCTGCGTGGTTTGTCCACACACTGGCAGCAGCCTTGGCTGTGAAGTGAACAAATCACAACTTAAGCAAAAAGGGAGGTTTATTGTCTCAACCACTTGGGAGGAGGGGCAAAGCGAGACCTTACTGGGACCAGGGCTCGCTGGCCCTGGGTTTTGCGCGCTCTGCCTGAGCTCTCGGCTGCTTTTTGGCTGTCGCTGCTGTTCTCTTCTGCTGCAGGCAGTGCGGACTGTAAGTCAGGTCCTTCAAGTTCAGGCGGATGTTTCATCTCCTCCCATAATTGTTCCTAACTCTTCATGAGGGGACATCTCAAAGGTGTCTAAAGATAGAGGCTGGCATAAGGAATTCCCACGCACTCATAACCCAGCTTCAGTGAGCGAGATGAGGTCGGTCTTGGTCCATCTGGGTGTCCCGTCTTTTCACCCTGGACAGAGACCCTTGTGAGCCGAGGAATAGCAACAACTGTGCTTGCAGTTTGGAGACTGTTACTCGTTCAGTGAGTGGCAGATCCAATAATCCAACAGTGTCTGTCTGTGCCTTTGTGATTGGCAATGACTTTTCTTCTGAGGACCTTTTTATTTGGACCCACATGTCAGCGGAGTTTTTGCAAGTGTCTCCTTTTCGTAAAGGAGAGCAGGTCTCCGCAAGTCGGTCGTGTGGGTGGAAGAAACTTCAGTGCGTTTCCCTCCCAACCCTCGATGCTTCTCCCATCTGCGCCAAACAGGCAGTTGTACCGGAGCCTTCTGTCGCACATCCCGGGCGTGGGGTGCAGTGTGACCAAGAGTAGTTTCTGTCCCCACTCACAACCAGAGGGGACTTCCGCTTTAGGCCGAGATGGAGTGACAGGAACTAGATGTGCCCTCCCACCCGAAACAACTGAAAATGGGTGCGAACGTGGGTTTCCTGGCGGCTGGGATAGTGACCCCCAGGAGCAGAGAAGCTACGTGGTAGGTTCCTGGGCTGCCGGGCGGGGAGGAGCCCTGCGCGGTTCCCCAGGTGCAGGGTGAGCTGAGTAATCCGTGTTCCCACCAGCCAGAGTGGTAACCAAACGAGCCCTGAAGACGCTCCAGTCCCCCTAATAAAACTTAAACGTAAGAAAGCATCACCCTGTTTTCAGGTAGCTTAAATGCATCCCAAACAAGGCTCGATAGTATTTATAGCAATTCAAAAATATCCAGCATCTCATTAAAAATCCACAGGCATGGAAAGGAGACAATACAACCCATAATAAAGAGAAAAATCAGTCAGCAGAAACGGATCCAGAAGAGACACAGAAGATACTTGGTAGACAAGGGTGTGAAATCAGTTGCTGTAAACACATTTTCCACATTCGAGAAGGCAGAGGGCCAGGGCCACGGAGGCAGCGGGGGCAGCCGCCCCGAAACCCCCCACTGGAACGTGTAGAAAGCTGGGGGTGGGGTGGCCCCCGTGGGGGGCGGGGCTAACTGCAATTAGAGACTGTGGAAGAAAAGATCAGTAAATGTGAGGGTAAGGCAAAGGAAACGATTCTACATGAAACAGAAAAAAGACTGAAAAAAAGAGAACAGAAGGCCCACAGGCTGCAGGACGGCCTCAAAGGTCACAGCGAATGGAGTCGTTGGCGCCCCTGATAAAGGCAGGGGACAGAAAAATGCCTGAGCAAATAATGGCCAGACTTTCCCCCAGTTTGAGGAAAACGATAAGCACCCCAGATACAAGGCCTGTAATGAATCTCAAGTACAAGAAATCTGAGGGGACAAAAGCCACAGAAACACCATTATCCAGTTCCTCAAAGCCAGCAGTGAGGCTTAAAAAGGGCTTTAGCCCACCTTCCTTTAAAAGAGGAGATACTTAAGATTAGTTTACCTTTCTTGAAATTAGTGTCTTTACTTACAAGCCATAAGGCAAATATAATAAATGTCTGTTAAATAACTGACTTAAGGCACAGTGGGACTTAATTTTCCTAAAGCTAGCTCAGTAAATTTTATTTAAGTAAATGTACATTTATTTTAATGTTGTTTTCAACCTGAAAATGTATTGATTATTGAATTAAAGCTGCTAAAATCAGAAGCCAGAGCAATATTAATGAAAATATGCTCTAAGACACAATTTCATTCAAGGCTTTAAAATTTGTTTTTTCTGAGTGACGTAATCAGGTTCAAAATTATTCTTATGCAAATGTTGATTTCATGATCTCTTTTGTAGGCCTAGATTATGAAGAAAAAGTGTTATTTCTGAAACTAAAATATGAGACTGTGCTTTCTTCTTTTTTAAAATTCTCATTTGAGGATATACTCACCAATGGTAGAGACAGAGAGAAAGGCGGGGGGTGGGGTTACACACCCCCACTGGGGATCAAAAGTGAGGCCTTTTGTAGTACCTGGTGACACTCAATCAAATAAGCTACTGAGCCAGAGCTGTCTTATTTTTCATGTGTTTTTTAAAAGATTTTATTTATTTATTTTTAGTGAGAGGGGAAGGGAGGGAGAAAGGGAGAGGTACATCAATGTGTGGTTGCCTCTTACACACCCCCTACTGGGGACCTGGCCTGCAACCCAGGCATGTGCCCTGACTGGGAATCAAACCGATAACCCTTTGGTTGGCAGGCCGGTGCTCAATCCACTGAGCCACACCAGCCAGGGCAAGAAGAGAAATGTTGGAAGACGGAGGCAACAGTCAACATGAAACCCTGCTCTGGTAGATTTCTTCAAGTCTCTCGGATTAGCTCACTCGGGGGTCCCACCTAGGAGACTGCTGCTTTAAAGCAGAAATGGCAAAATCGGATTTCTTTGGGTTTTATTTTCTAAGTGGATTTCGATAGGTGAGATGGGAAGCTTACAGGCATTTGGATCTTGTGGTTTCATTCAAGAGCAGCCTTATTTTTAGTAGACTACCAACAATAACAGCTAGAACTTTACGGTTCCGTGTAGAATGCCAGTTTGCAAATGTCTCCTTTCTTGTCGAAGAGTTCAGACTCGAGATCGAGACTTGCATTAGGAGTTTTTAACATGATCTCAATGTCCTTCTTTGTCAACATCCACTGTCTTGTCTTCTCCCTTTCTTTGGCCCTCGGCTTGGCCTGCTGCCACAGCCACGAGGCAGCGTTTAGCCAGCTCCCGGGTCCCCAGAGCAGCGCGGCGTTTTCCAAATCTCTTTTCCTGCCAGCGCGCGCGCGTTTGGATATGGAAGCCTTTTCGGGCTTCGTCAGTTGAGCCATCCTAGTCAGCAGTGATTTTCAGAGCGTGGGCTCTGAACTTGGCCGTGCATCAGATCCCGTAGGGAGACTTAGACATGCATCACGCAGGCCTACAGGTTTCTGTTACTGTTGATCTTGGTTGGGTCCCAGTGCAAATCAGTATTAATAAACAATAGAAAGAAGGAAAAGGTCCTTATATCTGAATGATTCCGACTTGCACTCAGGGTTGGAAACCACTGCTTTACAGCCTGGTCTCCCCGTTAGCTCAGGGGTCTGACGCGGTGACCTCAACTTCCGCTTTCTGCAGAGCCTCTTTCCCCCACAGCATGGGAGTGCGCGTGCGCGCTGATCCTCAGTCCTGCCGCCCCCCCCCCCCCCACACACACACACTGACTGGATGAATTCCGATGATAAATACAGCTCCCTGGATAGACGTCGAGTCCCTTCAGGAGCAGTCAGTCTCTGGAGATTCACCAAAACTGGGGAGGAGTGCCAGTCACCCACTGTGGGCGTGCAGGGCCACGCTCCGGTGACGCCGCCCGTTCCTCTCCCCAGCCAGTGCTGCCCGGAGCTGCTGGACACGGTGGACAACTACGCGGTGCTGCAGCTGGACATCGTGTGGTGTTACTACCGCTTGGAGCAGCTGGAGTGCCTCGACGACGCGGAAAAAAAACTAAACTTGGCCCAGAATTGCTTTAAAAATTGCTATGGAGAAAATCACCAGCGACTGGTCCACATAAAAGTACGTGACTGTAGTTGGTGTGAGGTACCACTGAGCCCATTTCTAGAACCTGAGTTCACTCGGGTATTTAGACCGCTGCCCAAAGGCGATCGCTGTTACGTCTGTGCGTGCTTGGCCCAGAGGACCCGGTACCGGTCACGGGCCTGCTGACCTCCGGGCAGCCGACTGTGTGCAGTAGAGTCTAGTGGGAGATTTAAGTGTGGAAAATGGACGTGTTGAAGAATATCGGTTCCCATGAGTGCGTCACAGCCCAATAGGGGTTCGAGTAGGGGTTTTTCTCTAGAGCCCTCAGAATTCTGCTTGGGAAGGACAGGGCAGCATGAGCTAGCATCTGGTTTGGGGTTGGGGTGCTTCCTCCCGGACCAGAGGGCCCCGGGGTGTTCTGACACCCTTTCCTCCAGCTGGGCAGAGGAGGTCACTGTCCTGTGGGGTCTTCGCCTTGGCCACCGGCGACAGCAACGCTGCAGACATCTTAGTGCTTCCGCGTGACCCCACGGAAAGGGAGGGAACTACGCGCGGGGCCACTGCTGACCTGTCATTAGAAATGAAACCGTCTTATCCTTTTTTCCTCCAATAATTTTAGGGAAACTGTGGGAAAGAGAAGGTGTTGTTTTTAAGACTTTACTTGCTTCAAGGTATCCGCAATTATCACAGCGGAAATGGTGAGGAGGCTCGGGAGTATCTCAACAAGGTAAGTGCGGGCGCTGGGAGTCGTAACCATGTCCGTCTCTGTGTTGTTTTATCCCAGAAGTTGAGTATCTCGTAAGCTCCATAGTGTGTGACTTGAGAGGAGCACAGCTCTCTGCCACGTGCACCATGAACATGTCTGTATTTGTGAGGGGTCAGGCCAGGCGCCATAATGAGGAAACCTTAAGAAGATGATGACTTGATGGCTAGAAGTTTCTGTGTCACCCGGCTGCCTCCAAGTGGGCCAGGGCGGTGGGGCAATCTCGGGTTGCCCCGTCAGTGCCTCCTGCCGCCAGCAGAGGGGGCAAGAGAGCAGGGAGATGACACAAGACTGTGCCCTCTGTCCTGCTGGTGCCCTGGCCTAGACTTGACCGGGAGGCTGCCCCCAGCTCAGGGGAGGGCCAGATGCGGGGGAGTTGCTGCAAAAAGGGGGGACAGGTTGGATACCAGCCCCTCCCACACTACTGGGCCTATTTTCTCATGTGTTAATGTTGCAATCCTTATACGACTTTTCCATCTTTCCTGTCTGTAGGCTCGCCAGCTCTTTAAGGAGCTCTATATCGACCCGACAAAAGTTCACAACTTGTTGCAGTTGGGGTTCACTGCCCAGGAGGCCCGGCTTGGCCTCAGGGCCTGTGACGGGAATGTGGACCACGCAGCCACCCACATCACCAACCGCAGAGAGGTACCTTGACAGGGTCTCAGGACCCCGGTCGCCGCCTGTGCCTGGTAGTGGGAGGGAACCCGAGGCAGGAGCCAGCTCCTTCCTGAAGGGCCTGAGCCCTCGGATGTGCAAAAACAGGGAAAGATAATGCCGGCAGGTGCTGCGAACGGGCTCTCTGTCGCCTCGGCTTGGGAAGTCAGGCGGGGCTGCCCTCTCTGTGACTGTTAAGTTAGTGCGGTCTCCTTATTTCACTTCCTGCCGTGGTAGGTGGCTCTTGAGTACAGTTTTCCAGGCAGGCTTCTCGCTCTCTCTTTTTATTTTTATCATAGCATATTTCGGGAAACCATTTTAAAGGCGCCCTATTTTCCCAAAGGGCCATTGCTATGGTTTGAGGGGGTATTCTTGCCTAGAGACACAAGTTGAATCAGAAGTAATCACTAGTACGTTACAAAAGCAAAGGCACAAAGTCAAACTCTTTAAAATGAGTAGAAATAAGCACAGGAAAAAGACATAGAGTTTCGGGGTTGGAAGGAACACTGCGGGTCTAACACACCGGTTTCGCAGTGAGGGAGCTGTGGCCCGAGGAGGGGGAGCAGTGGTCCCGCAGAAGTGGGACCGCGCTCTTCTCTGTGACACGGGAAGCTGGTGTCGGCCACCTCAGGGTCCCTCCCCGCTGTAACCCCAGCCACACAAGCCCCCGGGGTAAAGGCAAGGACCCCGAAAAGCCCAGGTCTGAGTGTCTGCGCTTACGTCACCCGGCTCAGCGCGGATGGAAAGGGGGCCTCGCCGACAGCGCCTTTACCACCGTGCTGCCGCTCAGTCACCAGAACTGCCGTCTTAGCATCTGGGGAGCCAGTGTTTTAGAATGAGACGATTTGAAAAAAATCTCACTGTTCCATATACTCTCTATGCCCAGAGTGCAGGGGAGGGGATTAGCATCACCCCAGAGCCCACATTTTACTGACCTCCCAGTGATCTGTCAAGGGCCAGGCGGCCTCCCACCCACGCAGTGTCCCAGCCCCCTAGGGACAAGGGGGCCGAGCAGTGAGCTCACTAGTTCCGAGTGGCCAGTTCTGGCGCCGGCTGGTGGTAACTGTTGAGTGCTCTCTTTCCCTGAAAACTCAGGTCTCCGCCCTCTGGCCCAGGCCAGGAGCCCCACCATGGCCTCTGCTCTGTAGCCTCTCATGCTGCTGACGGGCCGAGACAGGCGGAGGGTCACCTGCCTGTCAGGTCCCCAAATCCTACCGCACGTAGCTTGAGAAGGCTTTCTGCAGAACCTCGGCCCCCCACTCAGGGAGAGTCTGCTGTCTCCTAAAGGAATTGGCCCAGATCCGGAGGGAGGAGAAAGAGAAGAAAAGACGCCGCCTGGAGAACATCAACTCTCTGAAAGGGATGGGCTACTCCGCTCACGCCGCCAGGCAGGCCCTCCACCAGGCCAGCGGGAACCTGGACGCTGCCCTGAAGGTGGCGCCCCCTTCCGGGCCGGGCACCCCTCCCCCGCGCCTTCCCCGGCTCCTCCCCCGCGCCTCGCCCCCCCCCCCCCCCCCCCAGCCTGTGTGGAGCCCCAGCCCGCGGGGACCCTCGTTCCTGGTTTGGATCTGAAGGGCGGCACTCATTCTCGAACCCCATGATGGAGATGGCTCGGCGCGCCCCACCTCGTCCTACCTTTGGTGGGAAGCCTTTGAACGCCAGCCTGCGCCCAGCCTGGGTGGGGTCCCCTTTATCTGCTTGCATGGCGCCTCCGCGTAGTCCTCCGCGGGGTCCTCCGGGTGGAATCCCGTTGACTGTGTCCGCCCGGCCCCTAACAGCCGCCTGGCCTTGGTGGGCGTGGGCGGGTGCCCGTGAGGAGTAAAGGGCGAGTGTTCCTGTGTGTTTTTAGATTCTTCTCAGCAACCCTTACATGTGGCTCGGTGACTTCGGCCCTGAAGCCAACAACCATCAGGAAAGCCCCTCCCAGGAAAATATCGACCAAGTGAGTGAGAGTCTTCTGTGCCCCTCTCCAGCCTCGGGTGGCGAGGGCGAGGGTGACAGGTTGGCCGTGGGACAGGGCTGAGTCCTGGCTCCCTGGCTTGCAGTGTGACATCGGCCACCCCAGGGGCCCGTGACGGCTGCGGGCAGTGGAGGGGGCTGCAGGAAGGAAGGCGCAGGGGGGTCCTATACACGCACCACCCTGGGGCCTCCTGGGACCTCAGAGGAGTCACTGTGCTGCCTCTGTCCACATTTTTCCCCCTCCACATGAGGACACCTAGTGCCTTGTGGCTGCTTAGTCAGTGGCCCCGGTTCAGCCAGCACTGTCCTCAGCTAGCATTGTCCTCTCAGGAGCAGGAGGGGACAGGGGTGCTGGACGTGTGCCAGCTCCTGGAGCCCCGGCCTCAGCGGTGGCTGTCCCTTCCCTGTGTCCCCACAGCTGGTGTACATGGGCTTCGACACGGTCGTGGCCGAAGCCGCCCTGAGAGTGTTCAGGGGGAACGTCCAGCTGGCGGCTCAGACCCTGGCACACAACGGAGGGAGCCTCCCTCGCGACCTGCAGCTGGTGGTGGGGGACTCAACACCGTCCACGTCCCCTTCCGACTCTGCGTCCCCCTCGGACTCTGTGTCGCCCTCCGATTCTGCAGGTAGGTCTGGGACCTCTGGATCTCCAGGCAGCTGACGGGTGGGGATGTGACTTCGGCTGGGTGGGGCCGGGGAAGGTGTGGCCGGGGCTGACGTGGGCCGGCGTGCTCTCTCCGTGGGCTTTCTCCTCTGTCTGCTCTGCGTTGACCCACCCGTGCCCACGGGACCATGTCGCAGGCACCTCCAGCGCCTCGACAGACGAAGACATGGAGATAGACGCCGTCAACGAGATCCTGGAAGACATCCCGGAGCACGAGGAGGACTACCTGGACTCCACCCTGGAGGAGGAGGAGATCATCATTGCGGAGTACCTGTCCTATGTAGAAAGTATAAAGGTGGCGGCGAAGAAAAACTGAATGACGAACAGAAAGAAGCACTAAGTTTCTGCTCATAAACTCTATCGTTACGAAAAGTCTAATGCAGGTCTTCTTTTTTTTCCCCCTCTGTATCTGGCTTTGCTCCAGAGCGCTCCCTGCCCAGGCGCAGGCCGGGCGGGCAGGGTCCGGGACTCACAAGGCCAGAGGAGAGTTGGGCTGGGGGCCGGGGCGTTGGTGCCTGCTGGGCCTCGTGGGGCAGGAGCTCCCTGCTGGGTTTCTCTGCCCCCCGGAAACGGGAAGGACTAGAGAACAGGGCGGCCCCTGGAAGGGTCTCAGGAATAGAGAAGGGGGCGCGGGGTGCACTCCCATCTGCCTGTCCTCGCCTCGCCCTCCTGAGCCCTCCTGAGCCCACCGCTCAGCTCTTCCTCCTTCCCATGATGCAGCGCTGCCTTCCGCTGCCCCCCCCCCCCCGTCTGCCCGCCCCCGAATGGCCTCCGCGTCTCCAACCACTCGCGGTGCTTTGGGGGCAGAAGGGCGCGGCAGCGGTTCCGCCCGCCGCCCCGCTCCTGTCGTCGCCGCCACCACCAGCCTGCCACGTCACTGTCTCACGCTCTCAGTTTAGTGAAATACGCACTTGAAATACAAGGTTGGGAGTTCAGGATTTATGTGTGTTCAGAATCCTTTACAAAAATAAAATCTTTTATTAAATAGGAAAGTCATAAATGCTAACCAAAGCAATTTATTTTTAATGAGCATTTTCAGACACTGTGCTCTTACATTAAACATACTGCTGTCTAAGTTACCTACCAGAGATGAAGGTATATTTTCTCCAGGTTTTGTGGGATTTGGGGTATGTCTATAGTGCAGAGACTGTTTCAAAAGGTGCATAGCCTCATCCTGGCTGGTGTGGCTCAGTGGATTGAGTGCTGGCCTGGGAACTGAAAGGTCACCAGTTTGATTCCCAGTCAGGGCACATGCCTGGGTTCAAGGGCCAGGTCCCCAGTAGGGGGCATTTGAGAGGCAACCAGTTGATGTTTCTCTCACACATTGATGTTTCTCTCCTCTCCCTACCTTCCCCCCTCTCTAAAAATAAATAAAAATAAAATCTTAAAAATACAAAGTACATAGCCTCTTCCTGGCTCACACAACCATTTCTCATTGCAATGTGACCCCCTGTAGGCGGGTGTTCAACAAAAACTCCTTCCAGCAGCAGGTCCTGCTGCAGCAGCTGGACACTGGCTGACTGGAACCAGGGCCAGGTGCGTCCTGGGGCCCCGGCTGAGGGCGCTGGGTCGGCCTCATCCTGTTGGGGAGCTGGCAGGGCTGCGTGGGCTTCCTCGCTCCTCCTGTCCACACACCTCGGGCTGCTGTCCAGTTGGAGTGGTAGAAACATTTCCTTGTCATTCTGTTGACGCGGATGATACAGATGGAAGTAAAAGGTGGAAAACGTATTCGACAGTTGTCAGCCTAACTTTGCAGGAAGTTTACTCGAACCCCTCAACTGTCCTGAGAGCTGAAAGTGCCCAGGTGGCCTTCAACTTCATTCAGGCCTGAGAGTTTTGCTTCCTCTGAGTTGCGTGCAGACACCGAAACACCTGTTACAAGGAGGCGGCTGGAAAAAGCAGGGCAGGGCTGCTGGGGACAGGAGGGATAGGAGAGGAGGGGAGGGGGCTGTGCCCTGGTGGCCCTGGTGACGAGGGGGTACCTTTGAGACCATGGCAGACTGTCAGACTTTGGGCCCAAATTGCAGCTTTTGGCTAACAAGTTACCGTCCTGGGCTGGGGCCCAGCGAGGCCTGGAGATTCCCAAGTGCTTTTTAAATGATCCTGGGAAGGGCCACGGCAGCAGCCTCTGACTTCGGTCCATTTTCTTGTGAAGAGGTGCAGAGGAGCCAGTTCTTGAGTGAGGGACAGTCCCGGGTTTACACTGTCCCCCTGCAGGCCTTCCCACCACTGTGAGCTGGGAGGCGGGCTCTGGTCCTGCCTCTGGCTGGGTGTGTGAAGCCAGACGGGGTGACCACGGGCCACTCCCTGCTCTGGCAGAGCAAGGGAAGGAGCAAAGGATGATGAAGGAAGGGAAGGACTGGTGATGAAAATGCCGCTCACGTAACCAGGAGGGAGCAGACTGGAGGGTCTCAGAGGACACGGGCCTCGGAGGGGCTCTCCTTGGCTAGAGGCGAGAAGACGACATTCCCAACCTGGTGCAAGTGAGGATAGAACAGGTATAAGCTGAGCTATGTCCATGGTGTCATGGGGCCGTGTGTTGGGGGAAGAGAATGAGGTTGGAAGGGTCACCAACTTCAAGCACAGAGCACCGTGAGCCGCCATTCAGGGGTCTAGATTTGGGTGGCAGCTTGGCAGGGCTGGCAAAGGACTCCCAGAAGGAGGGGCTGCAGGGATCTGCAGATCGGCCCACACGAGTCCGTGGGAGGCCGTGGCCGGGGCGCGCCACACGCCTTCAGAACTGGTGCCCCTCCCTCTTCTTGTGAAATCTGTGTGCTCTTAGCCCTGGTGACTCTGTCATGTCCTGTCCCTGTTTTCCTGCCCCAGTGTCCTTTCAGGACTTCCTGTTCTTGTTCCCCCATCCACCTGAATATATCTGTCAGCGGCAAGAAGATACCATCAATGGCAAAGAAACAGCTTCTGGTTGCCTGGTCTTTGTACGCCCAGCATCTAGCCAAGGCCTCGGTGCTGCCGGACTGCAAATCCCCCCCAGGCTGTGCACTGCAAATGCCAAACTGGTTTTCCGTTTCCTCCCCCAACTCCGGGAGAGGCAGGCTGGGGAAGCGAACACTTCCTGGGGACCCTGACTTAGGATCTGTGCGGAGTGGCTGTTCCCAGGCGTGTGTAGTGTGCATGCTTATCCTCTGTCGTGTGTGGACACAACGGGAAATCTCACATGACAGACGAGCTGGTGAGGCAGGAATGCAGTCTCAGCTGGTAGCGTCCCCAGCGAATGGTGACTCAGAGCGCCCGTCTGAAAAGGTGGGTAAATGTGGGCTCAGGTACTCAAGGCGGCGCTCTGCCTGCCCTCCCTCATGTGAACTTCAGCATCCTGGGGAGCCCCTGTGGGGTGAACAGGCCCTGGCTAGAAAGTGGGGTGCCCCCCAGGGAACCCCATATCTCCCAAAGGCTATGTGCTTTGAGTCCCGCCCACAGAATGCTGAGTGAGAGATGCAGCTTCTGCAGGTTCTCACCAGCAAGCCCGTTTTCCTGGGGAGGTCCCTGCACCCCCAAGGCTTGGGGGGTGTGCACCCCTTCCTACCACACCTGGCGCCAGTACTGTGCATGAGGCCTGGACCTGGGCACCCAAGGGAGAATGGGAAGCCCCTCTAGCTGCGCATCTCGCTAATGAAACACCGTCTGCATGGCCACAATGGAGCGCCCACCACTCTGCGTTGAGAGCTGCCTCTGCCAAGGGAGGCTTGTCCTTGGTGAGATGCTGAGTTCTCAAGGGCAGCCAGTGTCTGCTGCAGCTTCTCCTTCTGCACCGGTGGCCAGCCCAGCATGCAGGACACCGTACTGTGGATGCAGAAAGCACGCACAAGCCAGGGGAAGAGCGCCCCCTTCCGGCAAGAAGGGCTGCTGGGGCGGCTCCCCTCGGAGCCTCTCCAGAGGCTGACCCCCCGTTTTCTCCGTGAAGCCCCTCCTGGCTAAGAGTACTCGGGCTGCTCCTGTGTCCTTGTCCCGCCTTCACCACATGGACAGCAGGCCTGGCTCCCAGGCATGTGGCCGGGGGGTCTACTGCCCCAGATGGAGAGAAACAGCCCTCCTCGATTCATGAAGAAATGGGAGCCCTAAGGCGGGGGCAATGGGTCCCTGAGGTCACCTCGCAGCTCGGGGGGCTGGCTCCTTGCTCCCCGGTCTCTTCCATGGCCACTTCCCACACGAATGACCCTGGAGGGGTCATCGGCCACAGCCCCTCATTTCACCCAGGTCCCTTCTGAGCCGAAGCTGACGCTTAGTCTGCAGAATGAAAGAAGTCCCAGAGCACTTTTTTTTTTTTCCAGAGCACTTTTAAGAACGTTTATTTTGGTTCTTTACCAGCATCCTCGGGAAAAACAATTTGCAAAAAGAATAATCTGCGGCTCAGTGGCTTTGTTTTTAAGAAACGTCAGTTTCTCTCGGCAAGAAAGGCTTGCCTTCTGGGAACCTCAGGCACTTGGAGCTGGAGACCCTGGAGGGTCCGGGTGGGCCGCGGTGGGGAGGTCCCGGAGTGCAGGGGGTGGGGCCTGGGTCCCCGGGAGGGCTAGCCGCCTCCTTCCCTCCTTCCGAGGGGCGGCTCGCAGGGGACCGGGGGAGTCTCAAACGTCCACCAACAGGAAGAAAACAGCAAAACAGCGGCGCAGGTCGGGAGCTGGGCCGCCTGGTCCGCTCCGGCCACCAGGAGGCGGGCGCGCGCACTTCGTGGGTCCCCGGATGGGGCCGCGGGCGGGCGGGCGGGCAGGCGGGCTCAGGCCGGCTGCAGGGGGCCGGCGGCGCAGCCCACCTTGTTGCTAAAGAGGCGCGAGAGGCTGCGCTGGGGCCCCGGGCGCGGCGGCTGGGCGCGGGGGAGCCCGCGCACATCCCAGAGGCGCAGCGCGCCGTCGTGCGAGGCCGTGTACAGCACCTGGCCGTGCACCTGCGGGGGGGGGGGACGCGCGCGCGAGGCGTGGGACGGGCGCTGAGGGGCGGCCCGCTACCACTCCCACCCGCGGCCTCACTGCATCACAGCAGCGGTCAGCCACTGGCAGACCCCGCCCTACAGCAGCCACCGCAGGCCCAGGCAGGGGCGCGACAACCAACTACTACCACCGCCGAAGGACAGCGACGGGTCAGCACAGGGGACCCCCGCCTCGGGGAGGAAGGTCTGCCCGTGGCGTGCTGAGGACGTGGGGACCTGAGCTCCTTCCCTTCCCTGCCCTCCAGGGCACGCGGGCGCAGGAGGGCGCGCCCCGGCTCAGCCCTCAATCCGCGGGGCCCGGGGGGCAGCCGGCAGGGAGCACCTACCTGGATGCAGTTGATGACGAAGGCGTGGCCGCGGAACACCCTCTGCAGCGCTCCGGACTCGGCGTCGAAGGCGCGCGCGCGGGCGTCCCCGCTGCCCGTGAACACTGTGGACACACGCGCCGCTGGGCCGCCCACCCGCCCTCTGCGTCTTCCGGACGCCGCGGGGCGGGGGCGGGGGCGGGGGCGGGGCGGGCAGGCCGAACCACCTGGACTGGTTCCCGGGCCCATCCGCCCGCCTCACGAGGATCCCATAAGGCTCAAGTGGGGCACAGAGGCCGCCCCTTGAAAGCAAGGAGGCGGCGCCTTCGCTGAGTACTTTCCCGAGGGGCGTCGGGGTGACCGCCGGGGCTCTGGAAGGGCCCTCTGCGGTCTGCGCACTGTGGCTACTGAACCTTATTCCTGCACTGCGCTTCTCGGGGCCTCCACCCTCCTGAGCCCCACCTGGGCCCAGGTTCCCACGCAGGCCCTTTGGTGGAAGCCGTTGGGGAAGCTTGGCTTCTCTGCCCGGTGTTCCCGCAGCTCCGAAGCCCCTGCCGCAGGGGAGCCACCCCTGCCCCACCATCTGAGCGACCTACTGGGGTCCAGGAGCCAGAAACGCTCCTTCCCTCCACTCCAAGTAATGAACTTGGCCCTCCAAGCAGCGCCCTGCCCAACCTCTTGCAGGTGTCCTCGGAGAACTTCCTAGAGCTTCTCCAAGTCCGCTGTCATTGAAATCACCTGCTGCGCCCGTGAAGACGCACGTTGCTGGGCCCACCTGAGTATCTGATCCAGGCGGTCTGGGTGGGTCCGGGAACCTGCATTTCTGGCCGTTTCCGGGTGATGCTGACACTGTGGTCAGGGTCCACACCGGGAACACGGACCCTCTGGTCCCTTAGCGTCTGGCCCGGGTTGTGCCATAAGCCAGCCGGACACTAGGATCTTAGTGCCACTAGCTCATCTGGCAGGACATTCCAGGAAGTGGAGAGAGACAGGCCTGAAGGGCACCCACACAGGTGTGCTAGCGAGCCCCTGGGAGAAGGTGTGGACCACGGAGCAGAGCTGTCCCACACAAGGGCAAGACACTGGGTGACTGATCCAGCAATTCCCATTAGTCATCGGCTGAGGGCTTCTCATGTGGGTGTCAACGCCCAGCCCCCCCTCTGTCCTGCCCCTCCTGGGAACACACACAGGCAGAAGGCCCAGGGGCTACAGCAAGAAGCACCGTTAACGGAGCACCCACAGTATCCGCTGCACCCACCCTGCGACCTGAACGGCCACAGCAGGCACCCCCCTTCCTGGGTCACCTGCCCACTCCCAGCTTTCCTACTAAAGCCAGCGGCGCTTGTGGCCCTGGAGGGGCGGCTTCATTTCTGGGTCTCTCCAGCTCCTTCCCTGCCGTCCCCTCCCCAGCAACTCAGCCTGACTGCTGGGCTGCCCGTGGGTGGGGGGGAGGGTCAGGAGTTAAGTCTGATCACCCTGCAGCCTTGCTGGCAAAGACCAAGGACCAAGGATCTGAACAGAGCAACAGACGGGGTCCTTGGGATCTCATACAGGGGCAGCTTAGATACCAGCTGCTACCCCAGGGGGGCGCTCTAGGCGACATTCTTTTTTTCAATTAGCGGTCCCCCACTTGGGAGCAGAGCCATAATCACACTTACAGCTCTGGACACAGGAAGAAGAGAAAAATAATCTGTCCGCGTCAGACACCTCAGTCTTGAGGCGTCTCAGGCTCTATTTCCAGAGCTCCACAGTGTCTTCACCTTGCACCTCTGCTGCGAAGTCAACGTGATTTTCCACCCTGACTCTTCCCGCCCCCCAGTCTGCCCCCTCACTCCAGTGTCAGGGAGGTGACTAGGGGGGTCAGTGCCTCTGGGGCTGGCTTCCTGCTGTGTGTGTGTGTAAAGGGGGGGCCGATGGCAAAATGTAACATTGGGGATCACTTGGGGGGAGACATTCAGGAATCTGGGGGTCCCCTGCCACATAGCTGCGGTGAGGTTTGGGGGGCTGCTTCCTGGGAACAGTGGGTGTCTTCTGGGCGTGTCTGGGGTGGAAACACATGGCAAGCCAGTGGGACAGAGCCAGCAAGGCCCGGATGCATGACAGTTTGTGACCTGCGGATGAGCAGCTTGTTGTCCACCTAAGGAGCCATTCCCTGCTTCTTGCTTCACAAGATGACCCTGGCTAATCCTGTGAGCTAGGTCCCCAGGCAAGAGACTATCGTTCAGCCGCTCCTGCGGGCACTGGTCTATAAGGTGTACACCTTGGGTGGTTGCCCTGACTGGTGAGGCTCAGCGCATTGGGCGTGGCTCATCCCGCAAAGCAAAAGGTCACTGGTTCAATTCTCAGCCAGGGCACAGGCCTAAGTTTTGGGCAAGGCCCTCAGTTGGTGGTGTTCGAGAGGCAACTGATTCATGTTTCTCTCACACATCGATGTTTCTCTTCCTCTCTTTCTTCCCCCCTTACCCTTACTCTAAAAATAAATTTAAAAAAATTTAAAAGGTCTTTGGGTAGGGCTTCCAGGAATAAGCTTTAAAGGGGCCTAAACAACTAAGAAACACATTCTTTTGCCCTTCTGTCTTCTTCCTGCCCACCGAAAACAGGATGAGATGGCTGGAGCTCCAGCAGCTATCTTGAACCATGAGGCCCCCTTAAAGCTAGAAGATATGTGCCAAGGATTGTGAAGCAAAGTGACAGGAGGAATCTGGGTGCCTGGTAACTGACAGCTCCTAAAATTCTTCTGAGAGAGAAATAAACCACTACCTCATGTAAATTGCTGCTATCTGGGTTTGCCCTTATCTGCAGTCATGCCTAAATGCCAGGTGATGCCAACCCCACATGGCCCTTAAGCCTGGCTGATCCGTATCACTCTCTGAGAACTAGAATGTGTCCTTGTGACATGCTCTTGACCCCAGGACCTCTGAACTTTCAGGTCGAGGCATGTTCTCGTGGGGTAAAGTTAGGGAGGAGTCCCCACACCCTTACTCGGGCCTTCGTTGTAGATAACACTTCAGACAGGCGCACGTGCGTGGAGGCGGCCCAGCCGCCGCTGCCTTGGGCGTCGACCACCCCGAATGGCAGCTGAGACTCAAGGAGCGAACCTCAGGGAGAAGTGCAGACGCGGAAAGGCCCTGAGCAGGGAGGGCTTGGTGGGAGGTGAGGAGTGGCAGGGGCAGACTGGGGAGGTGCCGCAAGGGGCAGGGGCAGGGCCACTTACAGGTGCCTGCGTGGTACTTGAGGGCGCTCACGCTGTGTCTGTGGGCTGTGAACGTGCGCACTCGCTCTCCTGTGTCCACCAGCCAGCACTTGACAGTCCTATCCGCGCTGCCGGAGTATACGTGTTGGTTCACGAGCTGCGGAGGAAGGACGCTGGTACCGCTGGGCCGCAGTGGGCGGCTCAGAGGCCCCTCCCAGCCTCTGAGCACAAGGGGCGGGGCACCTGCTGGTCTCAGTGGAGAAAGGGGAGGGGCCAGAAATGCCCTGGCCCAGGGGCCCCACCTACGGGCACACAGGTCTCGCTGCTCCCCCTGCTCCACGGGACCTGTGGGGTCAGGCCGTCCAGCAGACCGTCAGGCAGGCCTGGCTTTACATCCAGACCATCACTTTGCCCTTGGCCAGGTCACGGACTCTGCTCCTCGGCAGCTTCACTGTGAATAAGGACCGTGCCGGGTCCTCCTCCTGGGGCCACAGATACGACACGAGCTCGGCCACCAGGGTCCACGGGCTTAGTGCCCCCTACTGCCAGGTGTCAATGAGGCGACTACTGCCCGATCCGGTAGGACCGGTGTCCTCCTAAACAGAGGAAATGTGGACGCAGAGGGACAGCCATGTGGGGATGGAGGGAGGGGGGACCCCTGGCTCTTGGACTTCCAGCCCCTGGAACTGTGAGACAATGCATCTCAGTTTAGGAGGGTTGGTTCCTTCCGAGGACTCCCCCTGGGTGCCCTCTCACTCCCCCTGGGTGCCCTGTGCTGCCCTGCCCCAGAGCACCAGCAGCTCCGGCCGCCTGACAAAGTGCCACAGATGGGGTGTGTGTGTGGGGGGCGGTGAGCGGGCGGGCGGCGCTCACCTCCAGACAGATGACAGAGCCCCGGTGCTCCCGGAACACCCGCAGCTGCGCCCCGCTCAGGATGTCCCAGGCGCGAATGGTGGTGTCCGTGCTGCCCGTGAAGGCCGTGTGGCTGGGCGTGTCCAGCACGAGGCACAGCACGGCCCCCGTGTGGCCCCGCAGCGTCTGGTGGCAGCAGCCGCTGGCCACCTGCCACACCTTGGCCGTGCCGTCCGTACTGCCGGTCACCAGCAGCCCCCCGGCCACGGCCTCCTCCTCAAAGGGAGCCCCTGGGAGGTCCCAGGGGGCGGAGTAGGCCAGAGTCAGCACGCAGTTGCGGTGGCCCCGGAACTCCCGGGACGCCTGCCCCTTGTCCACGCTCCAGGCGCGAGCTGTCCGGTCGTAGGAGCTGCTGAAGAGCTGGTTGTCGGTGACGAGGATCCTGGGGGCAGGAGAGGAAGGTCAGGGGTCAGGCCTGCAGGTGGCCTGGTGGGCAGTAGAGCCCGGCAGGCTGCCCCAGGGTCCCTTTGGCTGGTGTCTTCCGTGGTCAATGAGTCCAGGCAATGGGAAGCATGGAATGCTCCCAGAGAAAGCCATGGGCTGGAGTGCCCCGGCCCCTGTTTCTGGGTTCAGTGGACTGAGTCCCGGCCTGTGAGCCAGATCTCGGGTTTGATTCCCAGTCAGGGCACATACCTGGGTTTCGGGCCAGCCTCCTCCCCCCGCCCCCAGTAGGGGGCGCTCAAGAGGCAACCACGCATTGCTGTTTCTCTCCCTTCCTCCCTTCCCCTCTCTCTCTAAAAATAAATAAAATCTTTAATGAAAGACTTCTGGGGACACAGGACTTGCAGTTTGAAAGCCAGGCAAGGTAGAGCACACTGGTCCCCCCAGGGACAGGTCAGCCTCCAGGGGCCGCACAGGGCCAATGGGACAGAAGAGCCCTGGGGAAGCTGGTGAGCTGGGAGGTGCTTTTGAAGGGCTTTTGTGCCCCCGGACCACAGGCCCACCCTGCTGGCACCCCACAGCAGGGGTCCTGGGTCAGCCTGCGGGTGACTTCTGTGAGGCCAGTGCCACCCACGGGAGGCACAGTCGGACGAGTCTCCGTGGAGTGGGTGTCTGCTGTCAGCCCACGAAGCAGAACCTCACTCTTCATCTGCTCGGACACTCCAGCTCCAGGGGCTGGCCCGGGTGGGGGAAGGGCTGGGCCACCGCAGAGAACAGACCTCCCACCTGCGCAGTGTCCAGGCTCCTCACCTCTGCACGGTTCCTACTTCCCACAAGTCACTAGGAGACGGCCCCGCCGAGGCATGGACGCGGTTTCTGAGCGGCTCCTTCCCTAGTAGATACGGTTTTCACAACGTGTTTATTTCTAGAGGGAAGTGACCGCCTGCAGCCAGGTGCCAGCCACGGGTGACATTCTGGGGACCTGCGTGCTGCCAGGTGTGGCCCGGCCTGAGAGGGCGGGGACGTCAGGCCTGGCGGGCGCCCCCAGGAGCTCACGCACCTGGCCAGGCTCTGAAAACACGGGAGGAAGTAAATTCCCCGTCCTCACCTCAGGGGTGAGAGTTAATTAATAAGGCAACTATCTTCCCAGAGCTACCGCTCAAAAGTAGTGAGTACATGCGTGTGAGAACGTGTGCGTGGTGTGTGTGCACATGGCAGAGCCTAATGGCCCAGATTTCCTCTCGAGAAGTAGCTGATAGTCTCCAGGTACAACCTGAGGGCCAGCTGGTCCCCCGAGACTCGGCCTTCTCCCACCTGTCAGCACTTCCGGCCACTCACAGCTTCACAAAAGGAGACTCCCCCTGGCCCACACTCTTCCTCAGTCACAAACTGGCCCCTGCAGGAGGAGTGCTGGGAAGCGGCCAGCAGGGGCTGCAGGACCCAAGCCCTGGTCCCAGCCCCTTCTCTGCGTGGCCCCGGCCTCCCAGGTATCCAGGCCTTGCCTGCTCTCACTAAGGGTGGGAGGCAGAGGCTGGGCTGCAGGAAGGCAGGGGGCTTGCCTTCTCTACTTGGAACCATCCCGAGCCAACACAACTCTACCATCTTTCTTTTCTTTAAAGATTTTGCTTATTTATTTTTAGAGAGGGGAGGGGAGGGAGAGAAACATCCATGTGTGGTTGCCTCTAGCACTCCCCCTACTGGGGACCTGGCCTGCAACCCAGGCATGTGCCCTGACTGGGAATCAAATTGACGACCCTTGGGTTTGCAGGCTGGCGTTCAATCCACCGAGCCACACCTGCCAGGGTACAGCTCTGCCATCTTTCTACCTAGGGGGTGTTACCGAGTTTCGGCCACGGGCAGCTGGTACTTCAGTTAACGGTCAGTCTGGTCATTCTAGGCGCTTGACCATTAGACCCGTCGGGCCCCGCCCTGACCCAGGCATGCGCAAAGTGGGTGCTGGCAGCGTCCCTTCTGGCTGAGAAGAGCACTCTCCACCAGCCAACCCAGCCTTCCGACCCCTCAAACTCTTGCTGCTGCACTGGGCCTTTCCTCCTTCGGAGGACCCCCCAGGCAGGCGCCCCTCCTGGGCAGTGAGTCAGCAGGAGGGGCCAGGAGTCTGAGACGGCCACGAGTTACATAAACAGCGTCCAGTCGATCTGATCAGTAGAGGAACTTCCCCGGCTCAGTGCAGACCCAAACTCAGTAAGGAAAAATTCAAACTTTCTTGAGAAGGAGGCCAGCGGGGGCAGAAGGTGGGGGGGCAGAGATTTTCAAGTGCACCATAGAGAAGAGAGGTTTAAAAATACCCCGGGCTCCCCTTGGCTGGGTTGCTCAGTTGGTTACAGCGTCGTCCCAATACTCCAAAGTTGTGGGTTCGACCCCTAGTCAGGGCCCATAGAGGAAGCAATCAATGAACGTATGAAAAAGTGGAACAGCAAATTGATGCTTCTCTTTTCCTCTCTTCTCTAAAATGAATACATATAAATTGAAATAAAACATAAAACTACTCTGGGCTTCATGTTCAGACCCACCCCTGCCGGCTCCACCTCCAAGCCCCTAGTCCATCATCAGGTGCCAATGAAGCCATTTCCTCTGGAATCAGGTCTCATCCCAGGAGCTGTGGCCTCTGACGCCTTTCCCTGTGCCCAGCAGGGGGCAGTGGTGCAGCCTGGTCCATGTGTGGGTGGTGCCTCCCAGCCTGACCTGCAGCCCGACCTGCAGCCCGGGGCAGTTAGCACCTGTCACACCTGGGGACACCTCTGTCCTGAGCCTTCCACTACTATGTGCCCCCAATGGCCAACCCACAAGAGCACAGGGGGGCTTCCCCCCGAGAAGCTGCGTTCCTCCAGGGCACAGGCCCCAGGCCTGCATCTCTGCCCCCTGGGGCCGGGCCTCGCTGCCTGGCAGCCCAGGGCCCCCAGCCGTGCCCACCTGTTCACGCTGGACGTGTGTCCCCGGAACACCTGCAGGCACCGCCCGGTCAGCACGTCCCACTTCCTGATGGTGCGGTCAGCGCTGCAGGTGAAGGCCGCCTCGTTCTCCAGCTGGCAGAAGGTCACGTAGCTCTCGTGTCCTGTGGACGAGGGGGGAGGCGTGAGCCTAGGGGGCTGGCTCAGGCTTTAATTCTGGGAAGACCGCTTGAGATGGCAAAGAAGGGAAGAAAGCCCAGGGCAGGAGCGTTCGAGACAAGTCCAGAGTTGACTAGCCCTTTGAAATGACCAGCTAATTCTGGGAGAGTCTGTGGGGTGCCCGGAGCCCCTCAGGGGGCACTCACCCTGTGACCAAACCTTTTTTTTTATGATCACCCAAGGACACGAGGATGTCTTTCCATTGCTTTTCGAAAGATAGGAAGGAAGAGAAACATCGATGACAAGGAGAAGCATCAAATCGGCTGCCTCCCTTATGTGCCCAGACTGGGGATCAAACCCACAACCTAGGCATGTGCCCTGACTGGGAATCAAACCTGAAACCTTTCAGTTATGGGATGATGCTCCAACCAGTTGAGCCACACAGGCCAGGGCTTCCCCTGAATTCTTTTGTTCCCTCCTCTTCATCATCACCTTTCAGCCATCTTCAAACTTTTCAGCTATTGGTATTCACTCAGTCATTCAACAAACGCGACCTTAGGGAGGCAGGAAGTATAAAAGCTAAGGGCCTAGTCCTCAGAGCCCAAACGCCTGGGCTGACCTCCTGGAACTTGCTCACTGGCAAGGTGTCTCCCCTCTCTGTGCCTCGGTTTCCTCATCTGACACAGGGAGAGCAACAATGCCCATCTCGTACGAATGTTGTGCAGACAGAGCAGACGCTGGGTCTTAGCGGTGCTCACACTCAGGAAGAAACACAGCCGTAGGCAGAAGATCAAGTCCCAATTCCTGGACCCTTATAGATATGGTTTGCAGATGTAATTAGGTGAAGGATTCCGAGATGGGGAGATCATCCTGGGTTTTCAGGACGGGCCTCAGTGCAACCACAAGTGAAATAAGGAAGCAGAGGGAGAACCGAGGACAGAGAGAGGACACAGTGAAGGCAGAACGGAGACAGACTTGAGGGTGCCGGCCCTGAAGAAAGCGATGATGCGGCCACAAGCCAAGGCATGCTGACCCACCGCAGTCTCCCTTACAGGTTCCAGAGGTGCACACCCCTGCCAACACGCTGATCTCCGCCCAGGGACACTGATTCTGGATCCCCAGCCTCCAGAACTGTGCAAGAATGAGCTTCTGCCGTTCCAAGGCGCCCAGTGTGATCACTGGTCACAGCAGCCACAGGGAACAACACAGGTCCAGAGATGAGGCAGCCGCGCTCCCTGATGTCGGAGGGGGACGCCGCCCAGGAGAGATGGTCAGAGGGCCTGGCACGTGCAGGGCAGAGGGGGAACGGTCCCCATGGCGCTGTGTGGGGAGGAGAAAGGCATCTGGGAGAGGACACCGCACTCCCAAGGCCTAAGTTCAGGGGTTTGGCAGAAATGGTGGATGAGGTAGAGACATAGCAAAGATGGACATCTGGAACCGAAGGAGGGCTGCACAGTCTGGGGTCTCAGCCTAGTGCACTGGTCATCCCTCTTGTCTACCCGGTTGTCAGGTCTATTAAAGATCACCCTCGTGCCCGGGCTGGTGTGGCTCAGTGGACTGAGCGCTGGCCTGCAAACCAAAGGGTCGCCCGTTCGATTCCCAGTCAGGGCACATGCCTGGGTTGTGGGCCAGGTCCCCAGTAGGGGGCGCGCTAGAGACAACCACACATTGATGTTCCTCTTCATCTCTTTCTCCCTTCCCCTCTCTCTAAATATAAATAAAATCTTTACAATTAAAACAACCAACATTGCCCTATTTGCGGAATTGGAATCGGGACCCGTGTTATTAAGCTGCCCCAGGAGACCTCGGTCCCCGTCAGGGCCTGCCCTTCAGACAAAGATGTTTCCAGCTCGGATTACAGCTGCCTGCCGTGAACTGAAGCTGAGTCTCTCTGAGGGGGATTCAGGCACCAGAAGGTGAACAGAATCACAGGGGTGTTGGCTGTAGGACTCTTTTCACAGGTGAGAAGACCGATGAATTCAAATTCCCACACATTTGGGAGACGTATTTACTACACTAAGGATTTTGATTGGATTTTAAAATTTCATGTAGATGTCCAGGATCAGGCAGATGAGGATTTAGAATCTCCTGCACAGTTTCAGGCTAACTCATGCTTTTCTGGGGGGTTGGAGGGCTGAGTTTAAGCTTAGCTACTCTTGGAGGGATTCAACTTCCTGACTTCCAAGAAACAGAATTTATTTAAAATTAAGAGAGAAATGGTTTTCAGTCTTCTTGGGTAGCCTATACCAGGCCTCTGAGAAAACAACATTTGCGTGAATTAAATAAACACTTGAAGAAACTGGAGATGATGTTTCCCTTGAAAACCACGTCAGTTTAAAAGTCGAGGGCAAAGTGTGTTTGGCAGAACACAGCTCAGTTTCTGGCCAACGCTCCGAGTTTATCAACTGTGTTAGGATCATCAACAAACTCTCCTGGAGACCAGACCTGTCGGTAGGAGGGCACAGCACCGTGGGGGGCTGGCTGGCGGGCAGCCCTGAAGGTGAGGAGGTGCCACCCCGCTGGCCCTGCGCAACCTCAGGTCCCGCAGTCCTCCAGGGACGCAGGGCGGACTGACCCAGGCCCCCCAGACAGTCTGTCTACCTTGGGAGGCATCATCCCCATGGAGACTGCTTCCTCCCGTCTCACCGGAAGTACCAAGTACAAGTGTGAATCAGGCCAAGAAAAACACAGAGAACCGAGTACATGAGGGCACCTGCTGCCAGTCCACCAGGGATGCCTCGGACCATGAGATACGTACAGGGCTGCTTTCTCGACCCATGAAAGTTAAAAAAAGTGTGTATATGTGTATGTATATATATATATATATATATACTTTTATATACATTAAAAGTGTTTATATATATAAACATTGATTGCAAATCAGTAACCATATAACCCATAAACAAAGACTTAAGAGGTGATAATAAGTTTTTCCATGTGAAAAAAAAACCCTCATCTTTTAAGCAGGGTCAGGCTGACCCTCTGCCCCGTCAGGGACCTGGCCCTGAGCTGGCCGAGGCTCCCAGCAGTGGTCAATGTTTCCCTCTCTGCCCCCCCAACCCCCCTCCCCCGCGTGGACAGCTCCTTCTTCTGTGTGCCAAGCACCCACTGGGAACTCAACACACAAGCCAAGTGAGGCCTGGCCCAGAGCCCCTCCAGAGAGGGGCCATGCGGGCTGCAGAGTGTGTCCTTGACCCCTGACCCTAATCTACAGACCAGAGACAGGGCTCCACCCCCCTGAGGCCCATGACCCTGGCGCAAAGGCCCCGCCCCAGCCTGGGGTTGGATGAGGGAGGCTGAAGGGGAGGAGCGGCTTGGGGGAGCCAGGGCCCATCACGCCTCCAGGGACCACAGCGCCTTGGCAGCTTGCTGTTGGATTTGTGCAGAATAAGCAAAAAAAAGCCAAACTCAAAATATTTTCGAAGGGATGAAGAGTGCAGATAAGATGCAGTTATTATGTTCAAAAGAACACGCTGAGGCTCTGGGGTTCCTGCCGAGGTCGTGGGGGCCTTCCTTACACCCTGGGACCAGTTGGAAGTCGAAGCGCCCCTCCGCGGCCAGGAGGGGCTCAGGGCCGGGGGTGCAGGGCGAGCAGCCGCAGGTGAGCTGGCCCACACCTCCGCGACTCCGCATGGAGAGTGGTGCCCCCCCGCCCCCGCCCTGCTCCTCCTCAAGTCTTTTCTGTCTGTCCCTCCGGGCCACCCTCTGCGGCAGCCCGGTCCCTGGCCCAAGACTTGATATGACGGAACAGGGACCCGGGGGCGGGGGGAGAATTATACCCACCTCCCCTGAGGAAGTGCACAAGTACAGACTGATGTGTTTGTAAAACTTTTACGAAACTCCTGCTATTTCACCCGGTTTCCAAGTAGGCTGAACTGCAGATGCGACGAGGCAGCCGAGAGCAGGGCATGGCGTCCGGATGGGAGAAGGGGTTCAAACCTCACCACCATCTGCGCCAGCTGTTACTTAACTCCGTGCCTCAGTTTCCCTGTCTGCACGAGTGGGATAGGAGGAGTGTGAGGGCTGCCCACTGTAGTGCTCGGCGGAACCCACGGCACCAACGGCCCTGAGAGAGATGTCCAGTCAGAGATGACCTGGCCAGTGAGAGGCCCGCCACGGTGCTGAGCACCTGAGGGCGCACAGGTGCGATTTCTTTGTGCTTGTGAAAACTGTTTTAACGGAAACGATGGCACGCAGCGGGCTGAGCTGTGGCCTTGGCCCCGCAGAGGGCGCCCGCCGACCCACTGACCGGGATCGCCGCTCGCCCTGTGCCCCCACCCCGCGCGCCCCCCACTGGTCGGACGCCGGGCGTCGGGCGGCGCGCTTCCGCGAGTGTACGGGGAGCCGTGGGGGCTGGACTCTGGGGAAGGGGCCTGGGGGTGGCGAGCAGACGGAAAGGACAGAGGTGGAGGGCCGGGGAGCGCGGCGCGTCTACCTTGCAGGAGCGCACAGCACCGGCCGTCCGTGGTGCTCCAGAGCCGGGCCGTGCCGTCCTCGCTGCCGGTCAGCAGGCGCTGCCCGTCGGGGCTCAGGCTCAGCCAGTTGATGCCCCCGCGGTGCTCTGCGCAGACCCTCAGGGCCGACCCGCCGCCCCCCATCCTGCCGTCGGGCGGGGAGGCGAGGAGGGAGCCGCGTCTGCTACGGGGGAGAGCCCGGGCACCCGCGCTCCCTGCGGCTTTGTCTCGCGGTCATCGCGGGGGGCCGGGGCCCCGGGTTCCTGTGGACGGCACAGGGTGCGACAGCGTGAAGTGGGGGACCCTCGCTCCAGGGCCGCCCACTCGGTAGCCCAGTCCACGGACCCAGCGGGCGCTGCGTTGGCGGTCCACTTGCGACCCCCATTCCTCTGATGGGGCAGTCCCAGCCCCAAGGGCGCAGAGCGCCGCCCTTCCTCACGCTTCCTCGGAAGACCCGCACCCCACCTGAGCGGGCCCCCCTCCGGCCCAGGCCAGCGGGGAAGCGGCGATTTGGGGCGCGCTGGGAAGCCCGGATCTCTTCGCGGGGCGCTGGCAGTGAGGCGAACACGGGTAGACGGGCGCCCCGAGCCCCACGCGCCCTCTCGGGCCAGCGCCGCGCGCTCAGACCAGCGGAGCGCGGAACAATACAGCCCAGACTGGCTCCTCCTCAGAGACCACCCCCCAACCTGTCCCCTCCCACTTCTCGGGCTTACGCTCCAGACCCCACCCCCAGCCCGGGTCCCTAGGGACGCACCGCGGCCCACGCACCCAGCTCCCGAGGGGTCGCCTCCACGCGCGAACCTCTGGGCTGCCCCGGCTGCGCCTCCAGGCTCTCGGGACGCGAGAGGAGGGGGAGGGAGAGGAGGGGGTGGGGAGGCTCGCACGCCCGGTAACTCGGGGCGGTGGCTGCGCGCTTCCACCTGGCGAGTTTGCTTCCTCTAGGCTCCCAGCCCTGAGGACCCTACCCGAGAGGCTTTCGGGGGACTTGGGGGCGGCCCCCTTGTTGGAGAGTGCCCAGACCGCCCTGGCTGGGAATCACGTGCACCCCAATTCTAAAGCTGTCCCGCGGGGAGGGCGTGGAGGACCGGTGTCCGGGACGGGATGCTGGCTCCGGCGGAGGGGGCGGTGGCGCTTGCACCCAGCGGAGGTCAGGGTCCCTCCCTGCGCCCCGCCCACCGCTCCCGCCTCTTTCGGCGGCCACCCCCCCCCAGTCCGCTCCTCCCCACCCCATCGCGGAGCCCACTCAGCGCGCCGCGCGCCTCGGAGGGTCCCCCAAGATCGCTGCAGGAACCCCGACCCCGGAACGCCAGGCGGCTGGTTCTCATTAGAGCAGTTCCGGCGCCGACTTCGCGGGGGGCGGGGAGGGGTGATCCCCAGCTCGGATCCTCCAGGTCCTAAAGGCAACAGGATTTCCGGAGCCCTCCAGGGTTCTTCGGGGAGGCTAACTGGGCAAAGCTGGGTTGGGATTTGCGATTGTGTGTGGGAGGCGGGGGCGGGGGTTGGTGAGCAGGGTGGCTTTGGAACGCCAGTCCTCATCACGACAGCGGGACCTTCTCCCAACGGCTGGCCATATGCAGACTTCGAAAGAAAACTCCATGACGGGGTCCCACAGGGTGGTTTATCCCCCACGCGGCCTAACGGGAGACACCCGAACTGGTGGGTCCGCTTGACGTTCAACTTCGTAGGCAGCGAGGGGGAAGGGCCACCGAAGGGTTAGGGGGCGGGGGACAGTGGGATTTGAACTCATCAAAGACACTGGTGGAGGTGCGTTAAAGGGACGCAGGAGGCGGGAAGGCAGAAAGCGAGCCCGTTCCACAGGGGGGCTGATCAGAGCCAGATGCATGCGGGGAGGAAAGGAGGACCCTGGAAGTCTCCAGTGTGCTGTACTTTTATTTTTACCGCGCACCAGCACAAAACATACTGTGCCATTAAAAAGGAAAGAAAACTTTCACCCTGGCTGGTGTGTCTCAGTGGATTGAGCAGCGGCCTGAGAATTTAAAGGTTCCATTCCCAGTCAGGGCACAGGCCTGGGTTGTGGGCCAGGTCCCTGGTTGGGGGGGTGTGCGAGAGGCAACGGACTGATGTTTCTCTCCCTCCCTTCCCCATTCTCTAAAAATAAATAAATAAATAAATACATTTAAGAAAGAAGCTTCAGTGTTATTACTATTATTATTAGTGCTTGGAGGACAATTATCAGACAATTAAAATTATCGCTGGGAGAGTAATGCAGGGCCCTGTACCCTTAAAGCCCTGTACCAGGGCGTCCCCGAGGCATCAAGTGGCCAGAAGTGGCCAGAAGTGGCAGGACAGAGCGCCAAGGAGGAGGGACCCCTGGAGACCCACAGAGGGTGCCTCTCAGGTATGCATCTGGGACTTACCAACAGGGCACACAGATGTGCACAGGTCTCACCTTGTCAGCACTGCCAGGATCCAGAGAGGGAGGGGACTGGCGAGGGACGTCAGAGGGAGTCCCCTTGTCCCTGTGTGAGGGTCCAGGGCCAGGCTGAGCTGGACGCCTGGGCTCAGGCCGGCTCCAGGCCCTGCATCCCCCTCATTCCCAGAATGACACTCAGTCTGCTCCAAGGGGTCACTGTCCACTCCAATCAGGTTCAAGATTAAAGAGGAAGTGGGCTCAACAATCAAACGTCCCTCTCCTGCCAAGAAAATCTTTGTGTTGGCCACAGCCTCCAGCCACTGGCGTCTGAACTCAGAAGTTAGGTCTCCTGCGCCTGTGGCCCAGAGGGAAGCGGGAGACTGGCCCTGCATATGGCTCTCTGAGGTCACCCCGCCGTGGGGACGGGAATGTTTGGGTCCTTCGTGGGCGTCTGGCTCCTCTGTAGCGTGCCAGCCAGCTGCCGAACACCCCGCCCACCCGCATGTCCACTGGCTCTCCCCCACAGACGCCCTGGGCAGCCTCAGAGCAGCGTCAGAGGCCACCGGGACCAGAGGAAGGTGGCTTTCACACAGCCTTCAGAACCCGCTGGCTTTGCCTTCTGTCTCCGCCTGAGATGGAGCCACAGGGGTTAGAACTGCCTCTTCCCACCCGAAACGGCCCAACACCTCACACACAAAACACACAAAGCAGTGCTTTTCAAGACAGTGGACATCAGGCAGTGAAAGACAGAAATTCCTGAGGGACAGGGGGAAAACGAGGGGCACCCTGAGACAGGCCCAGCGCAGGGCCCCCGAGAGCACGTCCAGACCACCGCGCAGGAGCGGGGAGCTGGGGTGGAGCCCAGGGGACTCCCTGAGTTGCCGAAGCAGCTGAGCATCCGGGAGGCATCAAGTGGCCAGAGGTGGCAGGACAGAGCGCCACGGAGGGGGACCCCTGGAGACCCACAGAGGGTGCCTCTCAGGTATGCAGCTGGGACTTACCAACAGGTGCATGTGGGCAAACTCCTCCAGGTGGGAAAGGAAGTAGAGGTGACTGCCCAACCCCCACACGGGCTGAGTGGGCAGCAAGAACACGAACACCATCACCGTGACCGTCTTCCGTGTGCTCAGCGTGATGCGGGTGCATGAACAATCCCTGAAATTAAACAACGACAGCCCTGCAAGGGGTCAACTGCAGATTGGTTAGGAAAAAATAAAATAAAATGTGAGTAAATTTGAAGGCATAGCAGTAGGACTTATCCAAGACAAAAAAAAACACAAAAACCCAGAGAAAATAACATTTAAAAAGTGGGAAGAGCAGCAGTGAATTGTGGGACCGATTGATGTTTCTCTCCCTCTCTCCCCCTCCCTTCCCCTCTCTCTAAAATAAATAAATAAATATAATGTTTTAAAAATATTTTAAAAATAAACACAAGCTCCATTAAGAAGAATATATAGCCTGGCCAGGTGGCTCAGTTGGTTGCAGGTTCAATTCCCAGTCAGGGCACATACCTAGGTTCCCAGTTCGATCTTCAGTCAAGGAGTTCGGGAGGCAACCAATCAATGTTTCTCTCTCACATCGATGTTTCTCTCCTGCTCTGTCTCCCTCCTTTCCTCTCTTTACCTACTTGGGCAAGGGTCGGGGAAAAAAGAAAAAGAATATATAATCTGAATAACCCTACATCTATTTTAAAAGTTGAATCTGTATCTAAAACCTTTCCATAAAGAAAACCTAAGGCCCATTTGGCTTCAGTGGGGAACTGTACCAAACACTTAAGGAAGGAAGAATATCAATTATCCACAAATTCTTCTAGAGAAGAGAAGAGGAGAAATAACTTCTAGTTCATTCCATGAGGCTACTATTACTGTGATATCAAAATCAAAGATATTATAAGAATGGTGTTCCTGGTCTTGCTGCCCACTCAGCCCGTGTGGGAGTTGGGCAGATACCTCTACTTTCTTTCCCACCTGGAGGAGTTTGCCCACATGCATCTGTTGGTAAGTCCCCAGCTACATACCTGAGAGGAGACTTCTGTGGGTCTCAGATGAACACGGATGCAAAAATTCTAAACAAAACTTTAACAATAGACTTCAACAATATATAAAAACCATAAGGTATCATGGCCACGTGAGGTTTATCCCAAAAATTCAAGGTCAGTTCAACATTCAAAAAATCAACCCATGGATAGTCCAAGGATAGAAACAGAGACCCGTGGAATAGAATCAAGAGCCCAGAAATAAACCCATAACCTGGGGTCAATTTGTCTCCACCCAGGGGGCCCAGACAATTCAATGAGACCGAGAACAGTCTTTTCCAAAATTGGTGCTGGGGTAACTGAACAAGCAGCACGTGCAAAAAATGAACTTGGACCCTGTGCCTCACCCCACATACAGAATTAACTCAAAGCGGAGCGTGGACCTAAGTGTAAGAGCTGAAGCCGTGCCACTCTTAGGAGAGAATGTAGGTGTAAGTGTTTGCAGGGAACCGATCTGTTTGCCGATGGCAGAGGTGGCTCCGCCCTGCATCGGAAAGTCAACAGCAATGAAGGGGAGGGCAGGCGCCAGACCCTCAGACCAGTCTTCTCGTGGGAACCAGACCCAGAAAATGCATCCAGACTGTTTTGGCTCTGGCTCTGGCTAAAACTCCCTGGCCGTGGTCTGAAACAGTCGACGTTTATTGCCTATCTTCAAGGTAATTTCCAAAGCTGGTATGAACTTCCCCAAGAATGGAGCTAATCAGCACGCAAACCTTTCCCTCCTGCATTTGTTATTTTCGTTTCCTTGATTGCACCTAAAAGGTAGACAACAGCATTCTATGTAATAGATAATAAGTCTTTCTTTGATGTAAGACCCGAGAAAAACAATAAAAGCCTGTCCAGGCGAGGGTCGGGGCGCCCTCCCCTTGAGAGAAGTGTCCACAGGACTCCCATCCTAAGAGAGTACCCGTTCGGCCCCTTTTTCTCCACAGAGAGGCTGCAATAGCAGCCTCTCTGCATTCGTTCTTGTCTTCATCCACACACCACACAGATTCTGCAGGACGGGATCTGCAGCAGATGTTCATGACCTTGGACTAGGAAATCATTTCTTAGATATGAAACCTAATGCATAAATAAGCAAACAAACTATAACTGGAAAAATTGGACTTCATCCAGATGAAAAACTTTTACGTTTCAGCGTACCCTATCAAGAAAATGAAAACTCAGTCCTCAGAATGGGAGAAAATATTTGC